AGAATATGACAAAGTTCAGACACAAACAATGTTGGCCTGCATGTCTCATGGTATGACAATTTATGTGCCAATAGACAACATATAAGACAGAAAACTAACCGGATAATTAATGAAATTTGTTTTAGTTTAATCTTGCATGTCTCTTTCTCCCTTAACCTATACATGAAGCACTGGGTCTGACATTTAAATAATTGATGCTTATAATTGCTAGATTTTGTTAAAAAAAAATTGAAATAAGTCCTAACACTGTTCAGGTTTATAAAAGAAATGGTGACCAAAATTATACAAGTTTTTTTGTTTTAAGTTTGAAAACACTTTAAACTTTTATATGACTTTCATATTTATTTTATAATTTTATCTTAAGTGAAGTGTTTAAATATTTACTTTGAAGAGTATAAATATATTGAGACTGAGTGGTAGTTAAGAGAGAAGCTCATGTGTTATAAAAAAATTTACGTGTTTTTTAATATAAATTTTGGTTTTATATTAATTCTTAATTGTGATTGTATTTAATTTTTCGATTTGCAGGGAATTCTAAAAAATATTTTAATTTTTTTCAACAATAGCAGTCTTCTTCTAAATTTCTAATTTCAAAGATATATTAGTTTACATAAGATATTAATTTATTTAATTCAGAGTGAAATTTATTTATATGATTATTCGATGATATTTTATCATGTTATCAACTGAAATTAATTTTGACTTTTAAATGAGTCTTTTAATATTGCATATCAACCCATGATTTAAGGATAATATATAAGGGTGTTTGGAGAATAATGACTTTTTTTGTATGATAGGAGCTGTTGGTAATTCAACCCATTAGATTGATGTATGTATTTGTTCAGAACAAACCAACTAACAATGAAACTTTCTATAAAACCAACACAATTTTCATTCATTCGTGATAGATTGCTCAAGGTTTTATTTCTTAATTTTGAGACTAATGTCATCTTTTTTAGTTGAACTTCTGTGGTTGATCATGCGAGAATAAGTAACTTTTCATGTGAGATATATACAGAGGATGTAAACGTAGGTGTCTAAGTCGAGTGGCTAAGGATGTTAACTTGAGTTAAACATGAAGTGATTCCAAAAATATACAAATTAGGTTGGTAAATGAGAGTTAGCCCTCAAATTTAAAATGTATTAATTAATAATTATAATTATTAAATTTATCTTTTCAATTTTATGCAAACATGAAGTCGGATTAAATATTTGTATGTTTAAAATAATAATTAAAATTGTAGTGTAAATTAACGAAATAAATCGTTTTAAATTAGTATTTTAGATTTTAATTATTTAAATAAAAAATACAGGCTAGTCATTTAACTTGAATTGGCAAACTTAACATTGTATTTATTCATAGTCCAACCCATCTTTCTGCTATACATAAATCCAATCTAATAAACATTGATTAGAAAAATATCTTGGACCCTTGTTTAATCTAACCGGGCCAGCCCAAAGAAAGTGGAGGAAGTCCAACATATTTTAAGGCCCAAATCATTACTGCTTACTCTTGGTCTGCAGAATAATCAGAGCAAATTATTATTTTAATTTAATGTTTTAAACTAAATTTTATCAACTTTGTTTTTTTTTTTAAATTTCTATACAAATGAAAGTATATAAAAAAAGTATTCACTATTTCTGTGCTTTGATGTGGAGGTTGATCTTTTACTTGTGGGGCTTGAATTCTATATTCTTGCTGAACCTGTTGCCTTCAGCTTCCTGTTGTTTGTACTATATCATGACATTCTTCAATTTTGTCCTTGGTTTTTTATAAAAAAATATATATTTTATATTCCTCGTCTTTTCAATCATGTTGGGGGTATTCAGAGATTATTTCAATTTAATTTTTGATCTCAAAGTTTGAGTCTCAAATAACACATATATTTGAAAGTGTTGCTAATAATAAATCTATTTGACTTTCTCATAATTACTTGTAACAAAGAATATCTATATATAGACTAAAAAATTTCTTTAAAAAGAAAATCATCTTTCTCATTAAATGTAATTTGTTTTTGTTATTGATTTGTAATTGATAACAATAACATGGTTTTGGGCTAAATCATTTGCTAACTTAACATAGATAGAAGTTGATGATGATGTGAAGTTTTATAACTTTTATTTTGGTAGTTTCTACTTTCTACTTCTGAAATCTTGAACTGATACCCACTGTTTATAATGGGGCCATATTCCAGGGAATTGGGCCATGGTGATAGAATATGTGTGAGAATAAACTCATCCATTGATGTTCAAAGAATATAGAGGCAAGTGGGTGAGTACCACAGTTATTAAGACTTGCGTTTTAGTTCAAGAGTCACAAACTCAACACAAGCCCAACTTATTCTATTTTGCCAAACAAACCTTAGTTATCTACTTTGTTATGTTCTTGTATTTACGAAATGAGGTATGAATAGAATTACAATGCCATTTTGGTGCATATTAAACTTATCTTTCAAGTTTCAACCAACAGAGATTCATCTGCTCGAAATGAATAGATTATACCAAAATGAATTTCATTTATCTCAAGGTTGTGTCTTCATTCTTCAATTATCAAACCAGAAAATTCACTCATAAAAACTGGTTCATCTTCCCAAGTCTTATAACGGGTTTGGTTTATAATTTGGAAATGTCTCAAATCATGACATGGAGTTTGCATACTGAAAACTAAACACACTTTTATTGATCGGTTTGTGAGCCATATTGAAAGAAAATAACATTTGTAGTTGAATTTTGACAATCATGACAAGAAACATTATCGATTAAACCAATTCAAAGTTTTGGCATTTTATTTTGAAAGATGAACAAATACTGTACAAGTTACGTGTTCGTTTTGTTCAGATTTGAGGATTCTCGCTTTGAATTAAAACTGCAACATAGTTGGATGCTGGAATAAGCTTGAAAGATGCAAGTAAAAGTTGCACTGTATCGATGTAATACATGATTTAGGGTTTAAGCATTCAATATTTTTAATTTTTTCATTAGATTTATAATTTTAATTTATAAAATTTGTACCGATTTAAAAAATAGGATTGATCACCCAATAGCATTCAGTGTTATATTCGTTGACAATTATATATTAATTAGATTTATCAAATATAATATATATTAATGAGTGGCTTTTCATAATAATAAAATTTACTTGATAAAACAATGAAATTGACAATACTATAGTATTAAATGCTGCATTTACTAAATCAAATATATTTGCTAATTTTTAAAGATAATATGTATTTATTAAATAAATGAATTTTTATTTTGACAAAATTTATCAAAAGATGATTTTTCAGCAAGAAAGTAATTATTACATAATGTAATAACTAAAATTGCATATTAAAAAAATTAATTATTTTCTTTATTATATAGAAAAAAAGTTAGTTTATGAGACAGATTGTAAAATAACCAAATTCAAATGAATATATACAAATTTATTAATATGCATAATGATTTATCTCTTAATTTCTATTTTGTAATTTAAACAAACTATGGTGAGTTATTTCAAGTTAAAAAACATATATTATAAATATTGTAATAAATAAAAATTCAAATTATATAATATATAACCTTTTATTTATCAAATAATCGATACACGGTAAAAATTCAATAATCACTTTAAAATCTTTTATGTAGTTTAAAATACAATATATAGAAATTTGAGATGCTATAATACTACATTTTACTTTTATTTGTTAGAAGATATTAAATTACAATTTTAAAAAGCAACTTTTTGACATATTTTGCTAAATATTAGATATGTTAGAGAAAAAAACTTCGACAAAATGCAATGTTTCTCTCAGTTTTTCTTCATGTAGTTTGTTGAAACTTAATAGGAAACTGCTTGAAAAAATTAGCACATTTTTTAATCTTAAAATTTGTCTTTGTGTATTGATATAGCACGTGGCTTATTCATGAACATGATTTGGTCCTATCATCGACTAGTACGAGTCAGCCTGAAACTTCAAAAGTATATTAATAAACATTGTCTGCCCTCACAACCAAAGACACCAAATTGTAAATATCACAACTTTTTAATTTTTGTCAATTTTTTATATTATATTTTATATTTAACTAATAAAAAGAACACATATTTTGTAATCTATTTGTAACATAATCCTTTGTAGCATTCAGTACTCTTCAATTGTAATTGTAATAGTAATTTTAAAACATAATGAAGAAAGGTTACAAATAGTAATCATATCTCGATGGACAAAAACTCCACCGTTCATTAGTGAATGATTGTTTAGTTTTCATAGAGAAAATTTTCAAAGTAATTATAATTTTAGTATCTGAAATTTGACATTGACTGTGATACTATATCTAATTTTCAAAATTTTTATATGCATATTTTAAAATTTTATGTTTGACACTTAGTGTAACATTACTATACATGTAGGGGTTAGCAGCAAGTTGCAATGCAATTTGCAAAGAGCGTTGTTGCAAAAGCAGAGGACCTTTTGGTTGGGCCACTCATGGGTTTTGATGAGCCGTGAATGACAGTGGTTCACGTTCCAAGGTTTTGAATCGCACATGTAACTTTCAAAATCTATGCAACACTTTGTGAATTGCGTGTGAAAAAAATATCTCAAGGGCATTTTGGTGATAGGAGGATAAAGTGAGACATTTGGGAAATTACACTTATTTTAATGATCTCTGTCCTTAAAATGACATTATTTTTACTAAATGTGATTCTTTTTTCAACGATCACAAGGTTTTAAACTATAAATAATTTTGTTTGAGCTATAAATATATAATATGATATGATTAACTCTCTTAAGGAGAGATTTCTTAGTACATAACACGTGAACATAATTCTTTGCAGAAACATATATATGACCTAAATTAACTATCCGGCAGCGAATCTGTTATTCTTTTTTGCAAAAGAATAAAATTACTTTTATTAAATGTATACCCAAATTATTTTTATTACCAAACAAAAGAATAGTGCGTGTTAATATTATATATATTATTAAAATGAAACCCCACTTATATTTTTACCTAACAAGTATTGTTTTTTAATTTTTGTCTTCTTCAACCCCTGGAGGGTTTGATTGCTTCTCTTTGATATATAAATGTAAGAGATATTTGTATTTGCTTCTTCTTCCTTTTCAGTACACAATATTCTCTTTAACCTACAGCCACCTTATCTCTCTCTCTACCACCGCCTCTCTCTTTCTCGCTCTATCTCTATCTTTATGTTCTGGTGTTGAAGCACCAGATTACATTGGTTGTTCTTGGAGGAACCTAAGAGAGAGAGAGACATGGAGGCTGTTCTTCAGACCAAAGGGCTTCTCTCTCTTCCCACCAATCCCAGAAACAGGGTTTTGAACCCATCACACGGCTTAAAACACCGATTTTTCTCACTGAAGCCCAAAGCCCTTGATGGGTTTTCTCTCACTACCAATGGATTCCAAAAACTCCAAGCTTTTGAGCCAAAAGTTAATGCCTTTGTTCCAAAGGACAAAAATTTGTTCATTTGCAGGGCTGAAGCTGCTGCTGCTGCTGCTGATGGGCAACCTGTGTTTGGGGAAGCTGAGGCTGAGAATCCCAAGTTTTTGGGCATTGAGATCACAACCCTCAAAAAGATTATCCCTTTGGGGGCTATGTTCTTTTGCATCCTCTTTAACTATACCATTCTTAGAGATACAAAGGATGTTCTTGTTGTGACGGCCAGGGGAAGCAGTGCGGAGATTATTCCGTTTCTCAAAACATGGGTGAACCTTCCTATGGCTGTTGGGTTCATGTTGTTATACACAAAATTGGCTAATGTTTTGTCCAAACAGGCTCTTTTCTATAGTGTTATTCTCCCTTTCATTGCTTTCTTTGGGGCGTTTGGGTTTGTTTTGTACCCTCTCAGCAACTATATCCACCCTCAGGCTTTTGCAGACAATCTTCTCAACATCCTTGGACCTAGGTTCCTTGGTCCACTTGCTATTATGAGAATATGGAGCTTCTGTTTGTTCTATGTTATGGCTGAATTGTGGGGCAGTGTGGTCATTTCTGTGCTGTTTTGGGGATTTGCTAATCAGGTAATTTTATTTTATTAAGTGACTTTGTTGGTTGCTTTTTTTGTTTGATTATATGATGGTAAATGTTGGTGTCAGGTTATGATTTTAACTCTAGTATCCTAAAATTTGCATCCTGAATTGATTAGATTTGTTGGATATCCTAATATTTTACATAAACATATTCCATATTCTGCTTGAACCTGGGTGGATGAAATTTAGATATGGTCACTTGTCGATCATAATTATTAGATATTAATTGTTTGACTTTCTTTTTTCCCTGTCTTTATCTGTGTGCTGTTTTTGATTCATTTTCTTCAGATTGCACGTCTTGCGTTCTGACTTAGCAGTGTACATATGTTGATGTTTGAGATTTGAGATAAGAGATGATTGAAAGCATGGTCATGTTACTACAGTGTTTTGCATTTACTATTTCATGCTATATAGTATCATTTTTAATCTGAGTATGCGTTCATGTTATTATTAGGTATTTTAAATCTTTTGTTTTGTTTGATTGTTAATATAGTAGCAATACTGTTCTAAGTATGAGTCATTATTTAACTTTTTGCAACATGCATTTTACCCCTTCAACAAGGTGAGTGCTGGGGACTATAAATACTGATTGCTGCTTCATTTGAAAGAGACGCTGAATTAATTTATATGATTTCTCTGTCAATGAATAGAATGATGGAATTAATTAAACTCGATGACATCTTCCAACGTCTCTCAGTTTTTCCCTTTTCCTTGTGTTATATCTATTGGTTTCTTAAGCTAAATGAAAACTGCAAAGTATTTGTCAGATGACTTTAGGCTAGGTTTGCAAGACAATTTTTTTCCTAGGGTGTTTTATTATCATAATTAGTCATTCATTCTTTTTCTTTTTGGACAATGGATTTCTATAGTCATGGTAGATTTAATAATCGGGGTTAAAATTCAGAATTGATGCAAGAATTGTGAAGTCCATGTGAATCCAATAAAACACTAATGATGATTGTTAGATTCTTTGTTTTGTTAGTGATACATTTTTACGTTCTCCAATTTCCAATGGTTTTATTCTGTCGATGTGGTAAAATAAGTCTAGTATTAGTTTCTTTTTCTTGGCAAATCTAATACCTCTGTTTTTCTGCAGATAACTACTGTTGAGGAAGCAAAACGATTCTACCCACTGTTTGGACTTGGGGCCAATGTAGCTCTTGTGTTCTCTGGACGGACGGTGAAATACTTTTCTAATCTGAGGAAGAATTTAGGTCCTGGTGTTGATGGTTGGGCCATCTCTCTAAAAGCAATGATGAGCATAGTTGTAGTTATGGGGTTTGCAATCTGTTTCTTGTACTGGTGGGTGAATAATTATGTACCTCTTCCCACACGTAGCAAGAAGAAGAAGGTAATCACTTGAAAGGCAGCTACACCAGTTCTTTTTTTTTTATCGCTGCCTATGTTTTTTTAAATTTTTTTCATTTGCAAAAAATGGATTTTTAATATAATAAATGAGGAATTATTTTTGTTGTTTGATTGTTCAGTTTTTTTTTGGTATTTGAAATAGCTTAAATGACATTTTACCTTGCTATGGTTTTTACAGGATAAGCCCAAAATGGGAACAATGGAGAGCTTGAAGTTTTTGGTGTCTTCAAAGTACATTAGAGATCTTGCCACTTTAGTGGTTGCTTATGGAATTAGCATCAATCTCGTTGAAGTTACTTGGAAGTCTAAGCTTAAAGCTCAGGTAATGCACAAATATAGTGCTTTTGTCTTATTTGTGGTTTGTAACTGGCTATTTGACTCTGCATCTTTGCTGACAAACCTGTATTAACTGCAGTTCCCTAGCCCCAACGAGTATTCTTCATTTATGGGTGACTTCTCAACTGCAACTGGAATTGCCACGTTCACCATGATGCTTGTTAGCCAATTTATATTTGACAAATATGGATGGGGCGTTGCTGCCACAATCACACCTACGGTCCTGCTTTTGACTGGAGTTGGTTTCTTTTCTCTTATATTGTTTGGTGAACCACTTGTACCCGGTCTTGCAAAGTTTGGAATGACTCCACTACTAGCAGCTGTATATGTGGGTGCGTTGCAGAACATATTCAGCAAGAGTGCTAAGTACAGCTTATTTGATCCCTGCAAAGAAATGGCCTACATACCATTGGATGAGGACACCAAGGTTTGGATTCTTGTACCCTTGTCCATCATATTTACAATTAATTAACTTGAGCCTTTCATTTCAATCCGATTTATTAAACTATACTAAGTTCTTTCACAAATCTGCATCAATCTACTTTTTTCATTAAACTTGGCTTTGCATTCCTTGCTATAGGTTAAAGGTAAGGCAGCCATTGATGTTGTGTGCAACCCATTGGGGAAATCTGGAGGTGCCCTTATTCAGCAATTTATGATCTTAACTTTTGGATCACTAGCTAATTCAACCCCATACCTTGGAGGGGTGCTTCTGCTGATTGTTTCTGCATGGCTAGCAGCAGCCAAGTCCTTGGATACGCAGTTCACCGCATTGCGGAAAGAGGAAGAACTTGAGAAACAGATGGAAAGAGCAGCTGCTGTTAAGATACCAGTGGTGGCTGAGAACAATGAGGGTGGAAATGGTTCTCTTGCAACTGGGTCACCAGCAGCCGGTGACTCCTCAAGTAGTCCATCTGAAGCCTCAACTCCTCGCAATATTTAAGAGAAAAATGTGCTTCTTTCTGTGCAAAATTGCCATGCAGAAGGAACAAGTAGAGATCTTTGAGAGGAGTGATAGATGAAACTATTTGTTGTAGGTTTATTACATATAAACTCTTATAGAATAAGCTTGCTACTTACTTTCTCAAGTCTTGATTTTTTTGTCCCCATAGATAAGATGAATTTATTTACTTGTTTCTATCAAGGTTGGTGAACCACATTTGTTTTCCAATGAAAGATAGAACTCGTTTCAGTGTTTGTAATCTCAAATCTCTGTTTCTCTATTTCTAGTAATTGGGTGATCATGACTTTGTGGGCTAAATTTCAGGTGGGTTTCTCGATGGTTTTGGGCTTCAGGAGTGTGGAAAAGGGATAATTAACCGCTGCCAGCCCAAAAAAAAGTATATTTGGTGGTGGGAGTAATAGACAGAAGGGTCAAGGACAGCCCAACAAACGAACAAGAACATATTTTTATTTGATGTAACGAAAACCATGATGAATGGGCTGGATCCAACAAAATATAATAAATGCAAGGTTTACGTTTTACTCAGAGCTTTATTTGTCTGCGTCAAAAACGACAAGAATGGTCACGAGATTGGGTGTGATGTGACCCCGTGGTGGTGCCATACGCAAATTTTGGATTCTTTGTTCTTTTCCCCATTTTGACATGACATTGGTATACCCTTTTTTATTTCTAAGGAGGTTGTATTTATATTAAGGTAAAATGTAAAAGGAGAATGTGTGGGCATTATGGGGGTAATTTAATAATTGACATCTTACTCATGATTAATAAAAATATGCGTAACTTCAAGAGTATGTTTGTCAGCGAGATCTTTTGAAGAAAAGAGAAGAGGGGGCAATTTTTTAATTCTCAAATGATTAGTTATATAAAATTTATATATTAAAAAAAGAGATTGGGATATTAGATTTATATTCATCTGTCATTTTATGTCTTTCATTTTAAAAGTTATTAAATTAGTTACTATTTATTAAAAATAAAAATTTGTCCTAACTCCTCTTTCTTTCTAAAACTCAACTTTCAAAATACCTTAAATTTACTAAAATTTCAACAGTTGTTTTTTCATAAACGGTGATAAGTGCAACTTATAAATTCTTGTTGGTTCTTATGGAGGTTCATTAGTAGCTTGACCTTAAAATGAAGCCAACTTTCTAATCTTTTTACACTTTTTGTTGAAAAAAAGATGATGAGTGGTGTTGAATCTCTACTGTATAATCATACCCTTCTGATCAGTTATTTCATGTTCAGCCAGTGGACACAATTTTTATATACGGAGAGAGTCTAGATTTTTCTTTGAATGCTATATCATATTAAAAAAACTCTGGGTGCCAATATCTATGATGAGACGCATTCTAAACCTTCTACTTGATGCCTTCTTCCATCCACTTCTTGCTTCCATCATTCTGTGCAATCTACATTTCCTTCAAATCAACCATCTTAAACCAATAATCAAAGAACTCAAGAAGGTATGTATTATCAGCATGGTCTTATGAAGCAACAAAGTTCCACTGTTGTTTCTTTGCCCATCCATATTGGATTCCTTGTAGTGGTATTCAACAAAAGTAAATGAGACGATAGTCCAAACTCCTTACGTATACATGAGATAGAGAGAGAACAAAAGGGTCTGTTTCAACTCTCCAAGTGCCTTTCAATTTTGATGGTGTTATAATTAATGTTATTCATCGTATGCTCCACATAGGAGGATATTAGCAAAATGGTACATTGCCTGCCATATGTAGAGAATAAACAGTTGTATGAGTGGTCCTACACTACACTCCTATATTCTCATATCTTAACAGCCTTATCCATCCTCTTCATTCCTAGCTTCAACATCTCTACAAAATCTCATGTCCACAACAAGGTCAAAAGAATAAATCAATTATTCTTGACATATATACTTTGTTATGCAATATGACCAAGACAGCTACTACACCAACCAATTGCTCCTCCACCACTCTATTTGAGCTTCTCAACGAAATGAAGAAGCAACCCTACACAGAAGCAGTAGTAACATTCCCAGCAAAATCTCCATCCCAATTCTCCTCAGAATGCTGGTTCGACGATGCATGCATCTTGGACATGGATTACTTCGTGAAGACCCTTGCTGGCATCAAGGCAAAGGGAGTTCGTGCAGATTTGATAGGTTCCATAATCACACACTATGCCTCCAAATGGCTCCCTGATCTCTCCGCAAGTGACATTGCTGAAAAGGGTCTCACCCAATTCGAGGAATCACCTGAGAGTGTGACAGCTTCATGGATGAAGAAGAGGTTTTTCGTGGAAACCTTGGTGGGTGTTTTGCCTCCCGAGAAAGATGCAATTCCATGCAACTTCCTCCTCAGGCTTCTGAGAACTGCCAACATGGTTGGAGTTGAGGGGACTTATAGGCAAGAGCTTGAGAAGCGCATTTCATGGCAGTTAGATCAAGCATCGTTGAACGAGCTGGTGATTCCCTCCTTCAGCCACACTTGTGGGACATTGTTGGATGTTGAGTTGGTGACTAGGCTTGTTCAGAGGTTTGTCAGTTTGGACCTTGAGGGTGCTAAGAGTGGTGCTGCTTTGGTTAAGGTGGCCAAGTTGGTTGATTGCTACCTCGCTGAAGCTGCTGTGGATGCCAATTTGAGTTTGGCTGAGTTCGTTACTCTTGCCGGAGTACTTCCAAGCCATTCAAGAGCAACCGATGATGGGTTGTACAGAGCCATTGATACTTATCTCAAAGTTTGCTTCTTTCTTATTTTCAATCACTTTCGAATTGGTTGATGATTCCTAGAGTTAATTCCTTCAATGGGCTTCTAAGTTATTTCATAGATAAATAACCTATTGGTAAATTAAATAAAAACTTAATTTTTTAATATAATATCTTAACTTGGTTAGTTTACTTATGATATAGTTATTTATCCCACAAGATAATTTAGAACAAGTCTTGCATAAGAAACCTCACAATTGTTCCTAACTATATACAAATTAAGCAATATACAAATAACAAATACTTGTACACTTATTGTATTAATGTTTTGTATTAGATGTAGCTTGCATAGTTTGAAAATTAATAAATGTTGAGTGTAATATAAATACAAAATGGATATGTATAGCTTCGTAAATTTAAATTTAATTTGGATAATTTTTTAGAGAATTTTTCATTACAAAAAATTAATGTAAAAATTAAATAAAATTTAAAAGATTTTGTCGTTTAACTTCTATAAAATTAAAAAATTAAAAAAAATTAATTTATGATTGTTTGGTATAAGAACAATGATTATTGTGAGAGTTTCAATAGAATTGATAGACAGGCACATTGATTGAATTGAAATTAATTGTATTAATTTTGGGGGTAATAGGCACATCCAAACGTGTCGAAGCAAGAAAGAAAGGGTCTGTGTAGACTAATCGATAGCCGGAAGCTAACAGCAGAGGCATCACTTCATGCAGCACAAAACGAAAGGTTCCCAGTGAGAGCAGTGATTCAAGTGCTACTCTCAGAGCAGAACAAACTGAACCGCCACGTGGATTGGAGTGGGTCGTTGATGAGTGGCACAAGAAGCCCCAATGGAGGGTTCGATTTACCCGCACGTTGTCTCTCGAAACGTGAGATAAACGCTCAACAGTCAGAGATAAGGAAGCTGAAGGATGACTTGTACAGGTTGCAAAGCCAGTGCAATGCCATGCAGGCGCAGATGGAGAGAATGGTGGAGAAGAAGAAGGGTTTCTTCAAGTGGAAGCGATTTGGGTTTGGGAAGATTGAGCAGAGTGTGACTGTGTTGGACAAAATGGAACATGAAGATGATGATGGGTTTGGAAATGGAGGGTTCACTCCTGCGGATATGAAAACCAGGTTGGTCAACGTCAAAGGTTGTAGGAATCCCCACAAGTGGAGGAAATCCATGTCATGAAACCATGTTTGTTGCATTCACCAAGTTGAATTCATCCAGTTTGTGTAGAATTAGACTTGCATGAAATCAATTATTGTTGTAGGATCAGTTATTGTATTTGGAATAAAGTCAATAAAGATGTGGGAATGCCCTCATTAATAATGTATGTATGAATGTATGGTAGCCTCAAGTTGTAATGTTTTTTAAATTTTGAGTCTGTCTATTTAGCCATTATGAAGGAGAATGAAGTTTGAAGTGTATTTATTGAAATTGTTTTTGAAAATTCAATTGAATTAACCATCATCAACGATAAAATTATCCTTCTAATATTTAACATGGTTGTATTTAGTAAGATTCAAACTCAAAATTATTTTCATTAAACTAGAACACTGAGTGACAATTATTGTGGTTCATGACTGTCTATTTTGTGCGGTATAAACATGCACCAACTCAGGGAACAAAAAAAATAAAAATAAAAAATCCCCACGTGTTGTTGTTCAAATTTTTTTTTTGGGTCAATGAACAAAACTTCCAAGTGGCCCAGTCCATTTAATAAGCAGGCCCATGATGAAGCTTTGATATACCGAAAATCCTGGTTAAGCTACAGTTTCTCGACCAAAAAAAGCCATATTTTTCTATTTTTCTTGCTTTTGTAGTTACTGGTAATGCATAGCTAATAGTTAATTAAATACGACAGAAAAGGATAACAAAAATAATATTGTGCTATTCTTAATTTCTTGCTTCTATAACTTGGTAAATTAATCAGATTTGGCTAAGCACATGCAGGATAAAAAGAAAAAGAAAAAGAAAAAGAAAAAGAAAAGATATATGGTTTGATATTTTTTTTAACAGGTGAATCAAAATAAGAACACGTGTTTGAGAGTAATCAGTTGTGTATTCGTTATGACACGTGTTAATTTTAAAAATTATTTTTATTAATGGTAAAATAATTGTCTACACTCTTTACATATTTAATAGTTTCCACTTTTAGTTTTATTAACCTACCAATTAATTAGATTATTATCTGGTCATTTATTTTTGAAATAAATAACTCAATTTTTAGAACATTAAAAATTTATTCAAACTAATAAAATACGATAAATTAAACACGTGGTTACTAGCAAGGGTATAGATAAACAAACATAAGACCACATTATGTTCGGAAAAAACATGAGAAGACATTAAATTAAAACAACATAACATGGATAAGATGATGGTTATGGTTGGCAGATAGAGAGACAGAAACGGTAACACGAACTGAACTATTTACTCTGTTCTCAACCTTCTCACACACTTAGACATTGTCGTGTTCTCTTCTCTTTGCTTTTAACGGATAAACCCTCTCATTGCTCTGTAACTCCAAATGGCAGCGTTTGCTAAACCCTCCCAACTCCATCCTCAAAGTGACCATCCCATTCTTCCAACCACTTCCACCAACTTCAAGTTCAAAACTTTCACTTTCACCCGCAACGTTCACACCCTCCATCCCCCACTCAGAAACGTTAAACATATTTGGGTCTCAAATTCTGTCACCACCACCACCTCCCTCAGCAGTCACAACCCAAACTCTGATATTGTTCAATTATGTCTTCTTGGGGATTTGGACAGTGCTATGAGCTACTTAGACTCCATGCAAGACCTTCCAATTTCAGTTGAAGAAGATGCTTATGTTGCTTTACTACGGCTGTGCGAGTGGAAGAGAGCAAGGAAAGAAGGGTCTCGTGTTTACTCTTATGTTTCCAAGTTGATGACCCATTTGAGCCTTAAGCTGGGGAATGCTCTTTTGAGCATGTTTGTGAGGTTTGGGAATTTGGTGGATGCTTGGTATGTGTTTGGGAAAATGGAGGAGAGAAATTTGTTCTCTTGGAATGTTTTGGTTGGTGGGTATGCTAAAGCTGGCTTCTTTGATGAGGCATTGGATCTCTATCATAGAATGTTGTGGGTTGGTGTGAGGCCTGATGTTTATACTTTCCCTTGTGTTTTGAGGACTTGTGGTGGCATGCCTAACTTGGGGAGGGGTAGGGAGATTCACGTGCATGTTATGAGACATGGGTTTGAGTCAGATGTGGATGTGGTTAATGCATTGATAACTATGTATGTGAAATGTGGGGATGTCGATACTGCTAGGTTGGTGTTCGATAAAATGCCTAATAGAGATAGGATTTCGTGGAATGCCATGATTTCTGGGTATTTTGAAAATGGACTGTGTTTGGAGGGACTGAGGTTGTTCTGTATGATGATTGAACATCCGGTTGATCCTGATTTGATGACCATGACCAGCGTGATCACTGCTTGTGAGCTTCTGGGTGATGAGAAATTGGGAAGGGAGATTCATGGTTATGTTCTGAGAACCGAGTTTGGGAGAGATCCATCAGTTTATAATTCGTTGATTCAGATGTACTCATCTGTTGGACTCATTGAGGAAGCTGAAAAAGTTTTCTCTCAAACAGAATGTAGAGATGTGGTGTCATGGACTGCAATGATATCAGGCTATGAAAACAGTTTGATGCCTCAGAAAGCTCTTGACACATATAAAATGATGGAAGCGAAAGGTATCATGCCAGATGAAATCACCTTAGCCAGTGCGCTATCTGCTTGTTCTTGTTTATGCCATTTAGATATGGGGATGAACCTTCATGAGCTGGCCAAGCAAACAGGGCTTATCTCATATGTGATAGTTGCAAACACACTCATTGACATGTATGCTAAGTGTAAATGCATTGACAAGGCTTTAGAAGTTTTCCACTCTACTCGTGAGAAGAATATTATATCTTGGACATCTATCATTCTTGGTCTTAGGATCAATAACCGGTGTTTCGAAGCTTTATTTTTCTTCAGGGACATGTTGCTTAGACTAAAGCCAAACTCTGTTACTTTAGTTTGTGTCTTATCTGCATGTGCTAGAATAGGAGCTTTGACATGTGGGAAAGAAATCCATGCCCATGCATTGAGGACTGGAGTAGGTTTTGATGGTTTTATGCCCAATGCAATTTTGGACATGTATGTGAGGTGTGGAAGAATGGAATATGCATGGAAACAATTTTTCTCAGTTGATCATGATGTCGCTGCATGGAACATTTTGCTAACAGGATATGCTGAGCGTGGGAAAGGAGCACTTGCTACTGAGCATTTTCAGAAAATGGTAGAGTCAAATGTTAATCCTGATGAAATTACATTTATCTCCATATTATGTGCTTGCAGCAGATCTGGTATGGTTGCTGAAGGCTTAGAATATTTTAACAGCATGAAATATAAGTACTCAATCACACCTAATCTGAAACACTATGCATGTGTGGTTGATTTACTGGGCCGTTCTGGGAAGTTGGAGGAAGCGTATGAATTCATCCAGAAAATGCCAATGAAACCAGACCCAGCAGTTTGGGGAGCCTTATTAAATGCATGCAGGATCCATCATGATGTTGAGCTTGGAGAACTTGCTGCAGAAAATATCTTTCAAGATGATACAACAAGTGTTGGATACTATATTCTTCTCTCTAATCTTTATGCTGACAATGGTAAATGGGACAAGGTTGCAGAAGTAAGAAAAATGATGAGGCAAAATGGGCTAATAGTTGATCCTGGATGCAGCTGGGTGGAAATGAAGGGCACAGTGCATGCTTTTCTCAGTGGTGATAACTTTCACCCTCAAATAAAGGAAATAAACGCACTTTTGGACAGATTTTATAGGAAGATGAAGGAAGCTGGTGTTGAAGGGCCAGAAAGCTGTAACATGGACATAATGGAAGCTTCTAAGGCTGATATATTTTGTGGGCATAGTGAGAGACTAGCCATTACCTTTGGACTCATAAATTCTGGCCCTGGCATACCTATTTGGGTAACAAAGAATTTGTACATGTGCCAAAGTTGTCACAACATTGTCAAATTTATATCTAAGGAGGTTCGCAGAGATATTTCTGTGAGGGATGCTGAACAATTTCACCATTTCAAGGGGGGTTTCTGCTCTTGCATGGATGAAGGTTATAGGACTCAGCCTGATTTGCAAGAAAACTGTAATATATGTAGCATCATATCGAAAAGTTAAAATTGCAAGAAATTACTACTTCAAGATCCTGCACATAATTGATTAATGGGCCCATGAATCATCGATCAACCTTATACATAACATTTAAGCTTACAATAATAGTTGTGCATGTAATAATGCTAATTTTAAGTTAAAGTCATTATTTTCTAATAGTAATAATAATCACGGAGTTATTCCTTTTGTTTTGGTAACTATCATAAAGTTTATTCTTTTGCCATTGTAACCAACGGAAAATCTTGCACGTTATTCTGAGGTGTTAGCGAAAAAGCATCTTATCTATAACGCAAAGAGAAGTGGTGAATAGGTGGTAACGTGGAGATTCTTGCTTCTTGTGTTGAAATTTGACAATTGAGTTTGTCTTCCAAGTGTCACGAGATGTTACCAAAATAACAAATATTAAAACGACCCTTTAAATTTTAAATACTAGCTAAGTACTATGTTCTGCTATTTTAGTTGATGTAACATATTAAAGTAAATCCTAATTATAGCTTTGACTTGTTCTCACTAGAGGGAAAAAAGGATTCCAACCATAAATTATTTCTTGAGCAAACTAGGGATCGTACTCGGTTAGTCCTTGAGCGCGTTAGGCATGTTTACATTTTTATGCATTTAATTAACATTTAACAAAATATTTACTTTTTTTCCCCCAGAAAATAGGACAACAATTTAAGAAAAATTCGCTGGTAAGTGTTACTTCACTGGGTTTAAACTTTCTTTTATGAATAGAAAGTATATAAATATAAAAGTGGTCACCTACCTTACTTTCGTAGCATTCACGGAGGTGTTACATCTCCCTCTGTAATACAACCTTCTTTGTTTTTTTTAAAGCAAATAGCAATGTTATTAATGATTGTTAGAGAGTCTATAATGTGTAGGTTTATATTCACACCATCTTAGTGCTAAGCACTAAGCTGTTGTTGAATCCAACACGGTATTACAACCTTAAAACACCTTTAAAGAAACTCAGTAAAACGAATAAAATGCAAGCACAATCGTTGCTTTTTTTATGGTTTCTTATGTCCTTTTACGAATTTCTTTCCCTTGAGTTTGGTATTTTTCGAAATAAAATGATACAGTAATATATTAAAGCATTTCATTTTGGAAGATATAGAATTTTTTGCAGAATAATGTGTTGTCATGATTGTAGATCTTACGTTGGAAAGTATGATTTGTTAGGAATCTGATAATGACCAAGTACTTTTTGTTTTTTAAGAATAAATCCTCTCACCTTGGTGACAGATAAAGATCTTGGGATATAGTAATTTTTATGCATATGTAAATTTTAAAATTAAATTTAACATTACATACTTTTAAGGAATATCAATTTCTTTGACTTAGTATATGTCTAGATTGGGTTATTTTTGTAGAAAATGTTTACTGGTAATGTTTTATTAAAAAAATATTATATATGTATAATTTTAATGTAATGAATATATTTTTATATAAAATTAAAAAAACTTATATGCAATTTTTAAGTGTTGCTTGTGTTTTTACTAATTAAAATTAGAGTTTTATTATGATAAAATATTTATATTGAATATTACTATAGAATTTTGAGGTGCAACTCCAATCTTAATTGGAGAAACACATTAAAAATGCTTATGGTATTAACTCTAAAATTTATTATTTTTAGATGCTTAAACTTAATATTAAAGGCTAAAGTTAACAAATCTTTTTAATAATTGATTAAAACATAATTAATTCTACTTATTTATTTATTTTTCTTTATAGTACTATGTTTATAATTAATTTGATTTCACTAATATTACCAAACAAGAAAAAAATTAAAAGAATATTTTATTAAATAAAATTATAATTATTTATTATAATTCATACCAAAAATATATTACAAAGATAAATATATACTTTAAATATAAATATAAATGAATACATTCTCAAGGAAAGAATTTGCTAATTGATTCACAACAGAGAGAAAAGTAGGTAAACTATTGTTATTGACGTACTAAACAGATGAATAGTTTTCCCCCACTCATCCTTAAGAATCTACCAAACAGTGTAAATAAGCAATAATGGAATGCCATTAGAATACATTGTTATAATAAGAAAAACACACTGTTTTTTCACCTTTGGCTTTTAACCCCCCCCTATTGCTGCGTCATGTTCAGCCAATTGGCGCTCAGTGCATGCAATTGTTTATCCAACAAATTCGCTAATTCATGGGAACATCAACGACAGAGCCAAATCATGACCAAAGCCTTCGATTATTATAATGAAATCGAAGCCAAAAAAGTCATCTTCGTCATCCCAATTTGGAGAAAGAACAGAACAAAAGATACAATTGCCAATTGGCTGAAGAAAAAAACAGAATTGAAATTCAAGTACCTCCTCTGTCCCCAATAAGAATCACCAGCTGTAGACATACACACAATAATAATAATATTCTTAGTTTGATTCCATTTTATCCACCTCAAGAAATTAAGCACATTGGATCTCTATTTTAGTATCTGAGTGCTGCTGCTGCTGCTGATGCTATAGTTTACTGTGTTATCAACGTCAACTTTTAGATTTGATTTTAAAATATATAAAAATAATAAAATTTTATTGAAAATAAATACACCTTAAACATTTTAAAAAATATATAATTATTAACGTATCAAATTTTGGGATATTTATATGTAAATTCATAACGTGACGTGTGACACTGACATTTGAAAAATGCTTGCTGATTTTGGATCATAGCATTAATACTACTTCATATAATAGAAATTGGTAACGTTGATGAGAAGTAACGCAATCACTCCATGGCACGCTCAATCTCCGACGACCAAACTGAAATGTCAACGACCACCCCACTCCTCAGCCACAACCGGTGGCTCCCCTCCACCGTCAAACTGAAAACGAGTATTGCATCGGAAATCTCCGGCGCCGTCGGCGACCTGGGAACCTACATCCCCATCGTGTTGGCCCTCTCTCTGGTCAACAACTTGGACCTCACCACCACGCTCGTGTTCACTGCTCTCTACAACATCGCCACCGGTTTGCTCTTCGGCCTCCCCATGCCGGTCCAACCCATGAAATCCATCGCCGCCGTCGCCATCTCCGAGACGCCTCCTCTAACCATCCCTCAAATCTCCGCCGCCGGACTCTCCGTCGCCGCCGTGCTCCTTCTCCTCGGCTCCACCGGCCTCATGTCCTTCCTCTACCGCTACCTCCCTCTCCCCGTCGTTCGCGGCGTTCAACTCTCTCAGGGCCTCTCCTTCGCCTTCTCCGCCATCAAGTACATTCGCTTCGACCAGGACCTCGCCACCTCCAAATCGGGTCCTCCGCGTCCCTGGCTCGGCCTCGACGGCCTCATCGTCGCCCTCGCCGCAGTCCTCTTCCTCGTCATCACAACCGGCGCCGGCGACGAACCGGAACCACAACCACCACAAGAACAAAGGGAAGAAGTCGCGGATCGACGGGAGAGAGTTCGCCGGCGGTTAAGGATTTTATCGACAATTCCGGCGGCGCTGATAGTGTTTTTGTTTGGGTTATTGTTGTGTTTTCTTCGTGACCCTTCGATAATCGGAGATTTGAAGTTTGGTCCTTCGAGGATTTCGGTGGTTAAAATTAGTTGGGAAGATTTAAAAATTGGGTTTTTTCGTGCGGCGATTCCACAGATTCCGTTATCAGTTTTGAATTCCGTTATTGCAGTTTGTAAGTTGTCGGGGGATTTGTTTCCCGAAAGAGAGGCTTCGGCGATGCATGTTTCGGTGAGTGTGGGGATTATGAACTTTGTTGGGTGTTGGTTCGGTGCCATGCCTTGTTGCCACGGAGCTGGTGGATTGGCGGGTCAGTATAGGTTCGGAGGTAGGAGTGGTGCTTCGGTTGTGTTTCTTGGAGTTGCTAAGTTGGTGCTTGCTTTGGTGTTTGGGAATTCTTTTGGGAGAATATTGGGTGAGTTTCCTATTGGGATTCTTGGGGTCCTTCTTTTGTTTGCAGGGATTGAATTGGCTATGGCTTCTAAGGACATGAACACTAAACAGGACTCTTTTGTCATGTTTGTTTGTGCTGCTGTTTCACTCACTGGCTCCAGTGCTGCCCTTGGCTTCTTTGTTGGGATTGTGCTTTACTTTTTGCTTAAATTCAGGGAACTTGATTGTGGTGGTTTTGGGTTTTTCACATCCAAAAAGGCCAAGTCTTGTGACGATGAAGAAACTAGCTTAGTTGCCTAGTAGTAGACTATTTGATTCACTATTTGGTGGATGGGTTGTCTAGTTAGTTAGAAATGATCACCAAATTGTGATCATGTGTGAGGGAGCTTCCTCCTTTCATAGTTAGTACTTGCAAGCAAGCAATAGCAATGCAACTCTCATCCACCTTCCACCTTGCAAGAAATCTTCCTGCATTTTGTGTTGGTGTAATGTTTCGGATAGGGTGTACAACATATGTGTATTTATAGAAATACTTCATCCATTTGAATAAAGGACTTTTGCCAAATGTCATGTTATACATGAAGATACTTGGGAACTTTTTTAGGACATAATTTCTAGCATATTGAGTTAACTTTTAATTTAAACAAATTGTAATGTATTTCTTCTAAATAAATTATAATTTTTAACTATTAAAAATTAGGAATTATGGGTCTTTACATTTAGTTGTGAATCATTCTGTTGCCAAATTGATACATAACAATATTAATTTAACATACCAACATTTAAAGAAACGAATAGACTTTCTATGGGATGAATTTACATAGGACTATTTTATTTTAATATTCTGTAGAATTAATTTTAATAAAACCTATTATGAATTATTGAATGTAATTAGAATGTCTAAATTAATTTTACTCATCAACTTATATTTAAATGTATATTGTTCAGTAAGAAAACTACAAAAATTAATTTTTCCCTGCCAAAACTGTTGTTGCATACGCACACCCGCTTGTAAGACACGGTACAAGAATCGGTGGTTATTTGGACAATTACGTTAACAAATGTTTTTTTTTTCGGTTTTAAAGAAACAACCCTTGAACAGGAATAAAAAAGTTTTGGTTGCAGAGAGAATACTTTTGGAAGTATCACTAAGAAAAGTAAATGAAATAACTCATAGTACAATAAAAAGAGATTGAGAAGATATAAAAAACCTTAATATTTTGATTAGTTAAATTTTGAAAATTTAGTTTTTAACTAAGCTTAATAACAACGTTATGTGATTCATATATCTAAACTTAACTAGGGTATTAATAATGCATCCTTTACATTTCTACTAATAATGTACAAGTGACATTGTTGCTTGATTATACCTTTATTTTATTGTGTCAATGACTTAGATTAAAAATAAAATGACAGAATAATATATCTAATTTGATTATACCTTTGCATTTGTTTTTGTTTTCGCAAATTTTTGTGAGGAATAATGGCATCGTTAGCCCAGTAAACATCAAATACTACTTATTCAAAGAATACTGAAACATAGCAACAACTATGGAAGAAAGCCTATATCTTCCATATACCACAGCCCACCTCATCAAGATCATGGAAAGAGCTTACATTGAGAAAGCCTAGCATGCTTGACCCACAAGCCCATCTCATCAATACCATGGAAGAAAGCCTCCACTTTTTGACCCACAAGCCCACCTCTCTCTCTTCTTGTTGCTTGCTTAAGAAGATATGATGATGATTATTGATTTGTTGTGTTTTCCAAATCATCTTTCTAAATAAACAAGGTTGGAGAAATCGACATTTTATCCACCACACAAATTCCGAAAGCCAAGCAAAGCTACTTCCATCACCACCACCCAAAAGGACCACTTTGATGTTGATCACATGAGGTTAAGGAGAAGTTTATTGATAATTAACTGGTTTTATTTTACACATCAGTTTTTATACATTTGAGCAAATATTACTCTTCTTACAAGAAACTGTACATTTTTTTTTATACTGATGGTAATCAAAATTAGATAATAAACTGGATATACCTTCATTATATAGAAAATTAAAGTAATTAATAATAGAAATGACCAAGTTTATTTTTTCATTAGCTCAATTTAAATTAATTGTTTGCATGTTCTTTGAACTTTTTATTTTCTAGTAACATGAGCCAAGGAGCTACATTTTGTCCAAAATTTGAAGTTAATTACACGCCACCGAACTAAAACTTTAAAAATTAGAATGAAGAAGAATATTTGGCTTTTGGATATTTTTAATGGAAAAAAATCAGCAAAATAATTTGGATCTGGAAGGAAGACCAACCAGACCAAACAGACGACAGCTACAAAGCAACTTCAACTTCAAGTCTTTCACTCGTCAGTTCACCTTACAATTACATTAAACCCTGTTCTTGCCCTTCATCAACATCCAAATCATTGTCCATTTCTACAACACTCACTTGAAAACTCCTACAATCTTGTCCGATTCAGGTTCCTCCTCTCACCTGTTTTCTCCACGTTTTTCTTATTGGACCTTGAATTTTGACTTGTTCTGATTTTGTTTCTTCTCTTTAGATCTTCTTTGAGATCGTGATCTGTGTGCTGGCTGCATATTCACGCTTAGTGGTAGTCGTGGGTGTAATGAAACTCAATTTCTTATTGAAATCTGACAAGAAAAGCATTTGGGTATATTAGTTTCCTGGATTTCTAAAGAATAAGTTATTAACTTTTGTCACTTGGAATCATGAAGTTTCAATTTTCATCTATTGTTGCTCTTTGGCTTGTTTTTGACTTGTTGGTTGTTGTTTTTGGAAATTCACACTTCCCTGAGGAGATGTATAGTTTTGATAGGAACTCTCATGTAACCTATAAGTATGACCGAATGGGTGAAGTTCAGAAACAATGTGTTTCTGTCTTATCTGCTTCATCTGAATTGAGATATGAATATAGTGGTGTTACTGGTATGAAAGGAGAGCTTTCTTTTGTGAATGGGGATTGGAGGCAAGATGGAGGAAAGTTTCCCATAATGCCATTTGATGTTAGTGAATCTCCAGGGACTTTGTCTCGAGACCGTGCTCCGTTGAACTTGGTCTCTTTTAGGGTAATTGATGTTGATCATGACAGTAGATTGAAGAAGTCGGTTCCTATCAATGGTTTCATGGTGATGGGCATTACTCGTGATGGTAATTTTGTGGACAATGCAAATAGTGGGAATACTGAATTCCAGTTATGGCCCAGCCATTCTCAGCTCTCGATTCCCTTTCAAGGGGTTTACACCGAAACGAAGAAAAATGGTGGGCAAAGGGTGTTGTGTTTGTTAGGGAATACTATGCTTCCAACTCGAGAGGCTGATCCTGCCAATCCATGGGAATGGATGAAGAATCCTGGTGATATACCTCTGTCAGAAGATGATCAAATTTTGCTAGTTCTTCGCTATCCCATGACATTCACATTAACAAACAGGGTGATTAGCGGAGAGTTAAGAAGTTTGAACCGTGAATCCAATACTAAATATTTTGATGTGGTTCACATATCATCGCAGTTGGGCAAGTCAGCAAAGTACACATTTAGCTCACAACATATTGTGTCCAAAGCATGCAATCCATACCCATATAAAGATAACCTGACGAATGATGGCATGAGTGTCTACCAAGGGGCAAGGTTTTGTGAAATTCTTGAAGAAGTTACTAGAGAAAAACCTTTATATGTTGTGCCAAACTGGAGATGCAACGGAACAGATGCTTTCTGCAGTAAATTAGGTCCTTTTTTGTCGGATAAGGAAATCAAATCAACAGATGGAGGCTTTCAAGATGTTAAACTTTATATGCAGGATGTTATCTGTGAGCAAGCAGCTAGTAATAGCAATACTGGTTCTGCTAGGGTATCAACAGTTTTTAGAGCAGTTTCTCCATTAGAGAATCAGTATACTGCAGCAAAAAGATCTGGCCCCAGCAACATGTCTCTTGCCACCGAAGGGATTTGGAAGTCTTCTAGCGGGCAGCTTTGCATGGTTGGTTGCCCTGGATTAATTGATGCCAAAGGGAGTAACTGTAATACTAGGATCTGTATATATATTCCTACCACTTTTTCCTTAAAGCAACGTAGTATTATTATGGGAACTTTGTCTCCCATTAATAACAGTAGTGCCTTCTTTCCCCTATCATTTGAGCAACTTGTGCTACCTTCAGAACTCTGGAATTATTTTAAGTTCACTCATCCAAATTACAGTTACTCTAAAACTATTTTGGCTGGCACTGTCCTAGAAAAAAATGAGCCCTTCAGTTTTACAACTGTCGTAAAGAAATCATTGCTAACATTCCCCAAGCTTGAAGATAATGAGTCATTTCTAGATAGTCTATCTCTTCTTTCAGAAGATCTCACTTTTCATGTTCATGGTTTTCCTGACCCTATGCCTAATGTCCTGGCCCCGAGAGTTGACATTCAGATGGAGATTCTCTCTGTTGGTCCCTTGTTTGGACGCTATTGGTATGCTCAAAATGGTTCAACATCTGAACAGGAAACACCTTATCATGCCACAGCTGCGGAATACACAGAAAAGCAACTTCTTATGAATGTATCTGCACAACTCAGTCTTACTGGAAAAGGTTATAGTAATTTTTCTGTGCTTTTTCTGGAGGGTCTTTATGACCCACATGTTGGAAAGATGTATCTAATTGGTTGCAGAGATGTGCGAGCATCATGGAAGGTCTTATATCAGAGCTATGATCTTGAGGCTGGAATGGACTGTTTGATTCAGGTGGTTGTGGCTTACCCTCCAACTACAACTCGGTGGCTAGTCCAACCCACGGCTACAATTTCTATTGAAAGTCAAAGGACTGATGATGATGCCCTTCGATTTAATACAATAAAACTTCAGACTTTTCCAATCATATACAGGAAGCAACGTGAGGATGTCCTTTCACACAGAGGTGTCGAAGGGATTCTCCGAATCTTGACACTTTCGTTTGCAGTTGGGTGCATTTTGAGCCAGCTGTTTTATATAAAGTGTAATGTGGATTCTCTTCCATATGTGTCTCTTGTTGTGGTAGGTGTTCAAGCTCTTGGGTATTGCATTCCTCTTGTCACAGGTGCTGAAGCTCTTTTTAAGAAAATGGTTTCTGAATCTTATGATGAGTCATCTAGTGAATTGGAGAGCAGTGAGTGGCTCCACATCATTGATTACACTGTGAAACTGCTATTGATTGTATCATTGCTACTAACTCTGCGACTTTTTCAGAAGGTGTGGAAGTCTCGCATCAGATTGCAAACACGAACCCCTCTTGAGCCACGTTGTGTCCCCACTGATAACTGGGTATTTCTTTCTACCTTCGCCATACACATGATGGGGTATATAATTGTGCTAATAATTCATGGCACAAAGACTAGTCAGAAGGCTCTCATAGCAAAGACATATTTGATTGAGAGAGGAAATTCTCATTCATTGCCAGATTGGGCAAAAGAATTGGAAGAATATGTAGGTCTTGTTGAAGACTTTTTCTTGCTTCCTCAAATTATTGGGAACTTAATTTGGCATCTTGATTGTAAACCACTCAGAAAACTATATTTTATTGGAATCACTGTGGTCAGACTTCTTCCTCATATATATGATTACATTCGAGCTCCTATTCCAAATCCTTACTTTTCTGAGGACTCTGAATTTGTCAATCCAAATTTGGATTTTTACTCAAAATTTGGGGATATTGCCATTCCTTTGACTGCTATTATTCTTGCACTTGTGGTCTATATTCAACAAAGATGGAGCTATGAGAAGCTGAGTCAGATTCTGAAATTTGGGCAGTATAAGCTTCTCCCGAGTTTCAGATATGAGAGATTGCCTTCTAGGTCTTGTGAATCTGAACTAGTTCCTGGTATCAATGGTAGTGCTGCAAAAGAGAAAGAGCAAGATGGTGTAGAATGATGAATGATGTAGACACTTTAGAATTACTGACAGCGGCTGTTGTACACATACATGAAAAGTAGATTAGAGTTTTGGCGGATGTATTATTATGTATGGTGTTGACTCATACACAATAATCAAGTGAATTGTGGTTTTACTCTTCAATTTCGGATTCTTTATTCACCAATTATTGCTGCTTAGTTATCCACTAATGTTCTACCAACCCTACCTTGCTATACTTTACAAGATTGAGATCAGAGGTCTAAGGGTGTTTATTTATATATGTTATTATTTGGGCGGTGATGAATTTGATACAAGAAAGGTTAGGAAATTTAATCAAGAAAGATTGTATAAACAAGTAGAATATCATATACTGTTACGAATTTAGGGCTTACTGCATTGTTTGGATAAAAACTGTCAACATCCAAAACTACCCCATGGAAATATCTTATAAAACTTGATAAACTTTTTTCTATTAATGATGTGTGAGTTGTTGTGCTGCATAATCGTGTCTTGGTTTATTGCTATTCTTATGCCTATATTTGGAATGCATCTTCCTATAATTGAGAAGCTAGATGACCTGACTTGCAAACTAGATATGATTTCTTGTGTTTGTGGTAATTCATATGCTTTTATAATGCTATTATATCTTTGAAAACGTGTTTCCGTCTTTTTAAGGCTACTGGAATTTGTCTACATAAAAATCATAAACAAATTCTTTTGATATATTTACTTCTAATTTGACACGGCAATAGATATTTTTCTCAACGTGAGCATTTTTCTACTTTTTTCATGAACCACTTCTCCGGCTTATCATTTTAATGTAGCTTTCCAGTGTATCTATTATATTCTTTTTTTTCATTACAATTAATTGCATAGGGCCATAGGCTCTAGCATAGGATCTTGATTTCTCTTATTACGGCAGCGGTTATATGATGGCCCTTATTTCATCCTCATTTTAAAGAACTATCAAACAAGGTGAGTTTTGCTGAAAATTATATCCTACAATAAAGGTCAATTTGCATGCTACCGAGTGACCATTCTTTGATTTCTTGGGCAACTGCTACATATCTTAAAGAATGTTATGAATCTCTTCGGAAAATTATATAGTTATATTTTAGTTATGTATATAGGGGAGTGTTGCAAAAGAGGGATGTTTCTTGTTTAAAATATCATTAATACAAATTGGACTAAGTGAGCATCATAGAGTGAGAAGAGCACCTAACAAGATTGTCAAACAACCAAGTTATTCACAACATCTTGTGCAGAGGTTAACTACTACAATTATAAAAGGCTTCAAGTACTAGAAAGTTTTGGTTCATGTTTACACTTTCTTTCTCTGTGTCCGTCTAGTTCCTTTATTTTTCTTCATTCACAAATCTCATTATTTTAAGTACTTCATACATATTTCCGTTTTAACAAAGAACTGTAAATTCTCTACCCTTGGTTATACACAGATTTTTTTGTCTTTTGCGTGTGTAACTTTGTTTTCTTTGTCAATATGCTTGTATATGATGGTTGGGTATAGATTAAAATTGCATTTTCGTAAAAAACGAGATTAACATAGCTATCTTCATGTAAATGGACCACCCCCTGAGATTGGGCAGTCCTACCTACTTCCCCTCTTTGGATCCATTACTAGCATCACGATTCTTTTGTTCACATTGAAAATTTATTCTATATATATATATATATATATATAAAGTATTAATTATTAAAATTGTTAAATCATTTTTTCTTCAAATCTTAACTTTTTGTAATCTCATTTTTTAAATTTAATTTTGACATATTTCATTCAAAAGCTCAATTATTGATATTATCAAATTTTAATTTTTCACTTAGGGTATTTTTCAATAGGCTTTACCTTTTCAAATATTTATTTGAGGACATAATTCGATATTAAAATTATTATTTTACATGCTTAAGAGAAATAATTATTTTTTAATTGTGTTAAACTTTCATGAACATTTAAAAGAAATTTTGATAATTTATATTATTTAATTAATTTATTTCAAATGTTCATTTTTATATTAAACTTTACTCTTTTCCCTCCAAAACTCAGTTCCTTTATTCTTACATACTTTAAATTCTTATATATACACATATTTTGCTATTTAAATTCTTATATAACATTTATTTTCAATTTGATTCATATATTTTTTTTAATCTAATCTCCGTACGTAGAACTGTTTGAAATTCGTCATTGACTTTTGCTGTTGTTATGTCACCTAAAAAGTAGTACGACGTTACTATGAAATGAAATATGTGGATCAATTTTTTTTTTTAAATTGTCATGTATAAGAGGAAGAATATATAATACTTTTAATTTCAACTTTTATATAATTCACACACACATATATGATACCAGAATATAAATATATTTAAAACCATGATTAATATAAAAATTTCAAATTTAGAGTGGTGGATCAAATTTAACGAGTGGTCTATTTTCATAAACTTTTCCTTATCAAAACAATTAAAAAACAAAATTGGGAGCAATTAATAGGACTCAACTTTCAACCCTCAACAGCATTTGATCCTCACTTGAGTAATAAACAAAGTTGGGTAGGATGTGGTACCGACCCATTAAAAGGTAGAAGAAATATGCAGCCAATAGAACAAAAATAGTGAGCATTAATACAACGGCGTGAATCGAGGTAGAGGCTCTCCTAATACGCCTTCCACGTACCCCATTTTATCAAACTAATTTTGACTTTGTATATGTTTACATACACGTGAGATGATAACAAAATAATATAGAGGAATTTAAAATAAAGAAAATAGTATTATTACACAAAATAGTCAACACTTAACGCTTGTGCTTTTGCATGAACAAGCATCGTAGTATATAAAGACATGCTTTTCCACAACACAACAACCTTAAAGCTTGTTGGGTTTTGGCGGGTTTGAGCTTTGGTTGCAAAAGTTGTTGTCTTTGTCTTGGGTGGTGGAGGCCATGGAGGGAAGTGATATATACAGAGCAAGAAACAGTTTACGAGCGAGTAGTTCAACAGTTTGGAGAAACAGTATCATGGAGGCTTTTTCAGTGTCTTCAAGGCGTGAAGAAGAAGATGATGAAGAAGCTCTGAAATGGGCTGTGCTTGAAAAACTCCCTACTTACAACCGTTTGAGGAAAGGGTTGTTGACAACTTCTCGTGGAGTCGCCAGTGAGATTGATATAACTGATCTTGGATTCCTTCAAAGACAGAAACTGCTGGACAGGTTGGTCAACGTTGCTGAAGAGGACAATGAGAAGTTTTTGTTCAAGCTCAAGGAACGACTTGATAGGTAAGGAATAAGGATGCATATTGCATTGCTCTTTCGATTTTGTTATTTACATGTTAGTGAAGAAGCTCGATATCATTTTCTTTTCTGATTTTTGTTTTCAGAGTTGGGATTGATATTCCAACAATTGAGGTTCGATATGAGCACCTAAATATTGAGGCAGAGGCTTATGTGGGAAGTAGAGCTTTGCCCTCTTTCTTGAACTTTGCTACTAATATAATGGAGGTAAATTTGACATATTCGACTAGCTCATGAGTTTGTGTTTCTTTGTCTTGCAATCTAGTCTTACAATCTTTCTGCCTTTGGTCTCTCAGAGTTTCTTTACTTATCTCCATATTCTCTCAAGCAAAAAGAAACACATGACTATCCTTAAAGATGTTAGTGGAATCATCAAACCTCGGAGGATGACACTACTTTTGGGTCCTCCAAGTTCAGGGAAGACCACACTCCTTTTGGCTTTGTCAGGAAAACTTGATCCAAATCTCAAGGTGCAAAGAAATGTCCCTTGATATCACTTTCATTTTCAATTACAAACATGGTATTTTTCATCTAATATGAATGCCACTGTGTCTTCCAGGTCTCTGGGAGAGTGACTTATAATGGGCATGGAATGGATGAATTTGTACCTCAGAGAACAGCTGCCTATATTAGCCAACATGATGTTCATATCGGAGAAATGACTGTGAGGGAAACCTTGGCTTTCTCAGCAAGGTGCCAAGGAGTGGGAACACGTTATGGTTAGCCATTTTTTTTTCTTCTCTAAAATCAAGGCCTTTCCTTTTTCTGATTATACCAGTTTCTTTATATCAAACTTGGTTAGCCAACATGATGCTTATTATCTTTTATGATCCATAGACTTGCTATCTGAGTTGTCAAGAAGAGAAAAAGAAGCAAAGATCAAACCAGACCCGGATATTGATGTCTACATGAAGGTAAAAAAGAAGCTATCATCAACCTTTATTACTTTAAAATAAAATATTTCTGTAACTGTGGATATAATATCTCTCCATCTAATTGTCTTGTGATATATCAGGCAGCTACAACCGGAGGTCAAGAAGCAAATCTTGTTACAGATTATGTGCTAAAGGTAATAAGCTTTGCTCGTGCTTTAAAGTTAAAAGTTTTTAAAGATTATATACACAGTGAAGCCACAAGATATTTACCATAAAATTTTGTAGATTTTGGGATTGGATATATGTGCTGATACTATAGTGGGGGATCAAATGTTGCGTGGTATCTCTGGAGGACAAAGGAAGAGAGTTACGACAGGGGAAATGCTGGTTGGACCAGCTAATGCTCTTTTCATGGATGAAATATCCACTGGCTTAGACAGTTCCACAACTTTTCAAATTGTAAGGTCTCTAAGGCAATATGTTCACATTCTCCATGGAACTGCAATTATCTCTCTACTCCAACCTGCACCAGAGACTTATGAACTTTTTGATGACATTGTTCTTATATCTGATGGTGAAATTGTCTACCAAGGACCCCGTGAATATGTTCTTGACTTTTTTGAATCCATGGGTTTTAAATGTCCTGAGAGGAAAGGTGTTGCTGATTTTCTACAAGAAGTAAGCCAAAGTTTATCTTTTGAATCCCTTTTTTGAAGTTAGCTCTAATGAAAACTATGTATTTATAATTGATCTCTTCTCATAGGTAACTTCAAGAAAGGATCAAGAGCAGTATTGGATGCGCAGAGATGAACCGTATAGATTTGTAAATGTTACTCAATTTGCTGAGGCATTTCAATCATTCCATGTTGGGAGGAGAATTGGAGAAGAGCTTGCAACTCCATTTGATAAGTCTAAGAATCACCCTGCTGCATTAACCACTAAAAAATATGGTGTTAACAAGAAGGAATTATTAAAGGCTAACTTCTCAAGAGAGTACTTGCTTATGAAAAGAAATTCATTTGTTTATGTTTTTAAGCTATGCCAGGTAGGTTCTAGCTGCATTATATGAATAAATGCTCTTTATGCATAATTGTTTGATAATATATTTATATTTTTAGTTGTTTTGCTTACATGGCTTCTACTTATGATTTTTTTTCTATGGCTTTTATAGCTCACTATCATGGCAATATTGACTATGACACTTTTTCTACGAACTGAGATGAAAAGGGATAACTTGGATGATGGAGGTGTTTATGCCGGTGCTCTATTTTTCGCTGTAGTAATGCTTATGTTTAATGGAATGGCTGAGCTTTCAATGACCATTGTAAAGCTTCCAGTTTTCTACAAGCAACGAGACCTTCTATTCTATCCTTCATGGGCATATGCCATTCCCTCATGGATCCTTAGGATCCCTATTACATTTATAGAAGCTGCCGTTTGGGTATTTCTCACTTACTATGTCATTGGATTTGATCCAAATGTTGAAAGGTAAAACTATTCCTTTACCTATTTGCTATAAGTAAAGGGGCAAAATTTAGGTGTTGTTCCTTAAATGTTGTTAGTGTTGTTATTAACCAAAATTAGAATTTTATCTTGATAATATGTGATAACATTAAATGCAAACCTTTTATTAATATAAAACTAATTTTACTTGATAAATAATACTATCAGCATATAAACAACAACACATGTTTTATCCTAAGTGAAGACAGATTCTTTTTGTTTGCTTGTAGTATTACTTATGGTATAAAATCTCATTCTCCATGCAGATTGTTTAAACAGTACTTGGTGTTATTATTGATAAATCAAATGGCTTCTGGATTATTTCGAGCTATTGCAGCACTTGGTAGGAACATGATTGTGGCCAACACATTTGGGTCGTTTGCACTTCTTGTTCTTTTTACATTGGGTGGCTTTATTTTGTCAAGAAGTGAGTTCAATTAACAAAAGTAATATGTTGTTGCCTTTATCAAATAATGGAACTTTACATTAATACTTCTTTAATTTCATTGGCAATGAAACAGATGATATCAAGGACTGGTGGATTTGGGGTTATTGGATTTCACCTTTAATGTATGGACAAAATGCAATAGTGGTGAATGAATTCCTTGGAAATAGTTGGAACCACGTAATCTCTTTAACTTGAAACATTAGTGATAATTTACTTAGTTTAGAAATGTGCAAGCCTAATTCATTTGCTCTTCAATCACAGTTCACCCCAAATTCAAATAAGACATTGGGAGTTCAAATTTTGGAGTCCCGTGGGTTCTTCACAGATGCATATTGGTATTGGATAGGAATTGGGGCATTGATTGGATTCATGTTCCTTTTCAACATTATATACACTTTGGCTCTCACTTTCCTAAATCGTGAGTAATTTAATACTTGGTTATTTAAGATTTTTATGGTGATGCAAAACTTTATTGACAAACATATGTGATTTTGCAGCATTTGAGAAGCCGGAGGCAACAATAACTGAAAATTCAGAAGGGAATATGCCTAATGACAAAACCAGAGAACACAAATTACCACGTTTAGGTGATATATCTTATTTATATCTTTCATGAACATTTAACACTTGCATACTATTTTCAAATTTGGAATGTGTGCTTAGGTGCAAAATTTTTCAACTGTCACGTATAAAGTAATGAAAGAGCTCTTCTTGTTATAGGTTCCAGGCACGAAAAGAAAAGAGGAATGATTCTTCCTTTTGAACCATATTCTATCACCTTTGATCAAATAGTGTACTCTGTTGACATGCCACGAGTAAGTCACTTCAAAGTATAAATAATTTTTGGGTTTCTAACAGTGTTTAGTTTAATGTTTACTTTGGTTCAAAATCAAGCTAGAGACTAATTCTTGGAATTTCAACTGGCAGGAAATGAAGGATCAAGGTGTAAGGGAGGATAGATTAGTACTTTTGAAAGGTGTTAGTGGTGCATTTAGGCCTGGTGTTCTCACAGCCTTGATGGGTGTAAGTGGTGCTGGTAAAACTACATTGATGGATGTTTTAGCTGGTAGGAAAACTGGTGGCTATATTGATGGAAGCATAAAAGTTTCTGGCTACCCCAAAAAGCAAGAAACATTTGCTCGTATTTCTGGTTATTGCGAGCAAAATGACATCCACTCTCCTCATGTAACTGTCTATGAGTCCTTGGTTTACTCAGCATGGCTTCGTTTACCAGCAGAAGTTGAATCTGACACTAGAAAGGTTACAACTATAAATTAAGAGTCAAAACACCTTTTGGTTTCCCTAGTACTTAAAGTAGTATGGTCCAAAGCATAGTTAATGTTCTGCATATTAACTAAAAGAATATTATAGTTTACCTTGTTAACTTAAAGACTAATTGTTGTTAATCTCAAATTTGATATATGGTTGTAGATGTTTGTTGAGGAAGTCATGGAACTCGTGGAGTTGAACCCATTGAGGAATTCCTTAGTTGGGTTGCCTGGTGTGAATGGTCTTTCAACTGAGCAGCGCAAGAGGTTAACAATAGCAGTGGAACTAGTGGCTAATCCATCCATAATTTTCATGGATGAGCCTACTTCTGGGTTAGATGCTAGAGCTGCTGCAATAGTCATGAGAACGGTTAGGAACACGGTTGACACAGGAAGAACAGTTGTTTGCACCATCCATCAGCCAAGCATTGACATTTTTGAGGCTTTTGACGAGGTGAGAGTTAAAATAAAAGTGTGCTTTATATTTCTTTCTCCACTGGACTTGAATCATTGAATCTAACATATGCTACACGTGATTCTAGTTATTCCTAATGAAGCGTGGAGGACAAGAAATATATGTTGGGCCATTGGGTCGTCATTCTTGCCAATTAATTAAGTATTTTGAGGTTAGATGTGACTTAAATTCAATATTATTCGAAGGGGATAGCCATAGTTCTTGCTAGTAATTACTCTTTTCTAATATATTTTATTGGCCAGAATATTGAAGGGGTGAGTAAAATTAAAGATGGTTATAACCCAGCAACTTGGATGTTGGAAGTTACAACTCCATCGCAAGAACTTACTTTAGGTGTTGATTTCCATGAGATATACAAAAATTCTGCGTTGTATAGGTAAGAAAATATATGTGGATATAGATTTATTTTGACTATAGCCCGTATGGTCATAATCCAAAAAGGCTTAGATTGTGATACACTTTTCTTCAGGAGAAACAAGCAACTTATAGCTGAACTTAGCAAGCCTACTCCGGGTTCAAAGGATGTTCATTTCGCTACTCAGCATGCTCAGTCGCTTTGGGTCCAATGCCAAGCTTGCTTATGGAAACAACATTGGTCATATTGGCGCAATCCACCGTACACTGCTGTGAGGTTTTTTTCCACTACTATCATTGCCTTGTTGTTTGGAACAATGTTTTGGGACATTGGAGGCAAATAGTAAGTCAAAATTTAGAAATTTAAAGATGACAAATTAAATTTTGTTAATTTTGTTTTTCTACTTGAATGTTGATTCCTTTTAATGGCTTTCCAGTTCAAGCAGACGACAACTATTTAATGCCGTTGGTTCAATGTATAATGCTGTTCTCTTCCTTGGGGTCCAAAATGCTGCCACTGTACAACCAGTAGTAGCCATTGAAAGAACTGTCTTTTATAGAGAAAGAGCAGCTGGAATGTATTCTGCCTTACCTTATGCAATTGCACAGGTTATAAGATCAGTATTTTATATATAAAAAAAGTATTTGTACTGTAATTTATGTATTCATGTTAACACAATTCACTCTTTTTTTGTAGGTTCTAATAGAGCTACCTTATATTTTGGTCCAAGCTACATCATATGGTGTCATAGTTTATGCTATGATGGGATTTGAATGGACTTTACTGAAGTTCTTTTGGTACATGTTTTTCATGTACTTCACATTGTGCTACTTCACCTTTTATGGCATGATGTCTGTGGCAGTTACCCCAAACCACCATGTTGCTTCAATTGTGGCTGCTGCATTTTATGGAATTTGGAACCTCTTTTCAGGATTTGTCATTCCACAACCGGTAAGTATTGCCAATCTTTGAATTCATTAGATATTATATAAAAGAAAAGACGGGTCTAAATCTCTTGTGTGTATTAGAGACACACATATGTGCAATATTTATAGGTACAAAATAGGGTATTAAAATCAATTACAACTCTAATCATATACAATCAAATATAATTACATATGTTCAATTTGTTTTTTAATACTATGTTGATGCTTATTGTTTTTAATTTTGTTACCTTTGTTTTATAACAGAGCATGCCTGCGTGGTGGAGGTGGTACTACTGGGCTTGTCCTGTGGCTTGGACCATATATGGGTTGGTTGCCTCACAATTTGGAGATATAACCAATGTTCTAAAATCAGAAAATACGACCGTACAAGAGTTCATAAGAAGTTATTTTGGTTTCAAACATGATTTCGTAGGAGTTTGTGCAATTATGGTTTCTGGGTTTGCAGTGTTATTTGTTTTTATTTTTGCTGTGTCAATCAAGGCCTTCAACTTTCAAAAGCGATAAATTAAGAACAAGAATGATCCTTTATATTTTTATACATTTTTGTTTCTCACTTACCTGTTTCTCATTTATACCTTTGTCTATCATATTCATGCAACACTTGCCTTGAATTTCTAAATAAAATTAAATGTGCATGTCAATAATGTATGACTTTCGTACCACCACTCCCTTCGTTTACTAATAACGTTTTCAGATTTTAATAAACTATTTTTTTTTAATTTTGATTCTCTCCCAAATAAGTAATAAATATAATGAGTTTTCAATACTATGTGAGTCAATTTTTCAATAAATAAGAAAATTAATTTAATCAACCTATTCTACTAATTGTTTTTTTTTACCTTTTCTTAAATCTTGTGCAAAAACCTAACGTCAATCAATGTGAAATGGAAGTTTAAAGTTGAAGAACTATTTTAACTAATCATACCATTAAAGTATGTTAATTTATATAAGTAAATACCTAAGATATTGGTTAAAGAATTTTTTTAAAAATATTAACATACTTTTTTTTTATAATTTTTAATAAAAAATCCACTTTAACTTTTAACTATTATTCTTTAAAAGTACTGGTCAATAAAACTTTTGTATATGTGCAATTATTATTTCCATGTTTCTGTGGGGGAAAATGTAACAACAGAATAATGAGAAAAAAAAAAGGATGGGGGGAGCATATCTATTTTTATTATTGAAGAAAAAATTGCAAAAATACATATATGAAATAAATCACTATATAATCACAAGGACATGCCACCGAATATTAAATGATGCAACACAACATTTATTTGTTGAATGCATTTGGCTTAATTGTTAGCCGTCAAGATTCTGTCTTCCCCAAAACACAGACATTAATAGTAAAGTGGGAGAGCCACAAAACACAGCAAGGGTTGGCTGTATGATGTTGATGGAATAATAATGTACATGCTTTCCTTCTATATGCTTTGTTTCTTTCATTAAGGAATGAAAAAGCAAGATAGAATAGGAAGAGGTCAAGATGGATACAACATTAAAGCCAAATGTTTTGTTTCATAATTATGTAATTAGTATAATTTTTGAAAAATAATAATCACAACTTGAAAGGTGAAGTATGTGGATCAAGTGGTAAAGATTATTTTATCTAAACGTGTGATGCATGCATTTTTAGTTTTGACTTTTTTTGGTGAGTTCTAAAATTAATCTCACAGATTTGGTGTTTCCCTCTGGGTCCCTTTTCCACTCTCGTTGACAACAAAAACTTCTAGAGACCTTTTCATTTTCATTTTTTTCTACTTTCATTGAAATTAATTAAAATTCTAAGAAAGTCTTTAAGAGAGTGAGAGAGAAAGAGCTTCAAGTGCAAATGCGTCCAAACCCCATAAAGAATTATATGAAAAAACTCAAACAAAAACTATATAGTATAATAATTTGTATGGTTTACAACATGTGTACAATAATCATAAAATAATATTAAATAGTACGCACATTATTTGTTGGATAGTTGTACAACGTAGACCATTCACATTATATTTGCATGATTAGATACTTATACAAATTATATGTTAAATAACTATACACAAGCAATGGCTCTCAAAATCTTGCATTCCACGGGATAGTATTTTGACGATTGATATCATGTACGTGCGACTTAATATGAAATAAATTATCAAATATTTGTATATTACTTTGATTAATTAAATTGCTAAAGAATATATCTTTGCTTACAAAGTTTCGAATTTTTTTTGGTTCTCGTGAGGGAAGTTTGAGTACTATATCAGCCAACCTTCAAAAGTACAAATGACGATGAGTGCACGTAATAATTAATCATATTTTAGAAAGAAAAATAAAACCGACACAATCATTTTAAAATGAAGTTAATTTAACATTTTTGCATGTATACGGTTTTTAATATTTTGTTTTATGTAATTAAACTATCACATTACAAACAATTGTTTGAGAACTTAATTTCACATAAGCATAACATTTCATCAATCATCTTTTGTAGTTTGTTCAGGCATATGTAAAAATATATTTACACAATTTACTAATAAAACAAAAGGCTTACTAAAGAGTGTCTTAAAAATACTGAATATATTTACACAACATATAAAATAATTATTTTGTTATTCAATATTTTTATTTTTATTTCTTTCACTACAGCAGAAGAAAACAAAGTGAGTAGTATCTTTTGTTGCCATTGGAATAATGATGACATTAAAATTTAGTACTAAATAAAAACTAAAAAGCATGGCCCCCATGTGGCACATGAAGAAACATGGGACTCTCCTTTTTCCTTTATTTGACCGATGCATCTCTGACATCAGTTCAGATTTATAGTATAGCAATATAGTACAACAAATTCCCCCTCGTGTTTCATTGTGCGTTTTGCATTATCTATTTCTTTTCTAGTTTCAATGAGCATAAGGACTAAAAATAAGTAAACAAATAAAACATGCACAAATTCGAGTCATCAGTAGCCACCTGTTATCATGATATAAATATGCAGTTTTCCCTTTTCATTCTTATTGTAAACTAAGGAAACTGAACATATATATGCAAATTCTTCTTCAGTTTCTCATTTATTTGAGTTCTTTCTCTTAGTTACATTACATATTTCTACTAGGAAAAGCACTGCTATATTGTTCTCTGATATATACCGCAGTAGTTTGTAACTGCATTAGCTTTGAGGAAGAAAAAGGGTTCTGGGTTTTGGTGAGTTTGAGGTGTAGTTGCCGAAGTTATTGTCTTTGATAGTTGACTTGGGTGGGAGCAATGGAGGGAAGTGATTTATACAAAGCAAGCACTAGTTTACGAGCGAGTAGTTCAACAGTTTGGAGAAACAGTACTATGGAGGTATTCTCAAGGTCTTCAATGCGTGAAGAAGAAGATGATGAAGAAGCTCTAAAATGGGCTGCACTAGAAAAACTCCCTACTTACAACCGTTTAAGGAAAGGGTTGTTGACCAATTCACGTGGAATCGCCAATGAGATTGATATTACTGATCTTGGATCTCAAGAAAGACAGAAATTGTTGAACAGGTTGGTCAATGTTGCTGAAGAGGACAATGAGAAGTTTTTGTTGAAGCTGAAGGAACGAATAGATAGGTAAGGAAGAAGAATACATTGCTATTGTTTCTTCTCTCCTTTGTTCTTATTCTCCAAATTTTTATTTTTCTTAAAATATTTTATTATCTTGTTAATAATATCTTTTTCTCTCTTTGTCATCTTTGTATTTTTCTATATATTTTTTTAGAGTTGGGATTGATATTCCAACAATTGAAGTTCGTTATGAGCACTTAAATGTTGAGGCAGAGGCTTATGTGGGAAGCAGGGCTTTGCCAACTTTCCTGAACTTTGTTACCAATATAGTGGAGGTAAATCTGGTTTGTTTAGAGATTGCAAATTTGTGTTTCTTTGTTTTGCAATTTAGTCTCACAATCTTTCTGTCTTTGGTGTATCAGAGCTTTTTAACTTCTCTCCATATTCTCTCAAGCAAAAAGAAACACATGACTATCCTTAAAGATGTTAGTGGAATCATCAAACCTCGGAGGATGACATTGCTTTTAGGTCCTCCAAGTTCAGGAAAGACCACACTCCTTTTGGCCTTGTCAGGAAAACTTGATCCAACTCTGAAGGTGCAAAGCAATTTCCTTGATATCACTAATATCTGTTGTTTTCTTTCATTGTCGATAACAAACATGGCATTTTTCATCTAATATAAATGCCATTGTGTCTTCCAGGTATCTGGGAGAGTGACTTATAATGGGCATGGAATGAATGAATTTGTACCTCAGAGAACTGCTGCCTATATCAGCCAACATGATGTTCATGTTGGAGAAATGACTGTGAGGGAAACCTTAGCTTTCTCTGCAAGGTGCCAAGGGGTTGGATCACGTTATGGTTAGCCATTTTTTCTACATTCCTTTGTTTATTTTACTAATCATTTTACAGGTAATATGGGAATGTGACATAAGCATAACTGGTTATAATTTTTTGTGATCCATAGACTTGCTATCTGAGTTGACTAGAAGAGAAAAAGAAGCAAATATTAAGCCGGACCGGGATATTGATGTCTACATGAAGGTGAAGAAAAATCTTTTATCATCAATTCAATAGCAATATCTATTACAATAAAACAAGCTATTTCTATAACTATGGATATAATATTTTTGCATTTATTGGGTTGTGACATACCAGGCAGCTACAACAGGAGGGCAAGAGGCAAGTCTAGTAACTGATTATGTACTAAAGGTAATACTAGCATAAGGTTTTCTCATGCTTTAAAGTTCTGTAAGATTATTATGAAATGAACCCACAAGGATTTTACTTTAACATTTTGTAGATTTTGGGATTGGATATATGTGCTGATACAATGGTTGGGGATGAAATGCTGCGTGGTATATCTGGAGGTCAAAGGAAGCGAGTTACTACAGGAGAAATGTTGGTTGGACCAGCTAATGCTCTTTTCATGGATGAAATATCCACTGGCTTAGACAGTTCCACAACTTTTCAAATTGTGAACTCTCTCAAGCAATATGTTCACATTCTTAATGAAACTGCTGTTATCTCCCTACTCCAGCCAGCACCAGAGACCTATGAACTTTTTGATGACATTGTTCTTATCACTGATGGTGTCATTGTCTATCAAGGACCTCGTGAATACATTCTTGAATTTTTTGAATCTATGGGGTTTAAATGTCCTGAGAGGAAAGGTGTTGCTGACTTTCTTCAAGAAGTAAGCCAAAGTTTATCTTTTGTATCCCACATTTGAAATTTTTTATGAAGATTATGTACATATAATGTATCTACCTTGTAGGTAACTTCAATAAAGGATCAACAACAGTATTGGATGCGCAGAGATGAACCGTATAGTTTTGTAACTGGTACTCAATTTGCTGAGGCATTTCAGTCATTCCATGTTGGAAGGAGAATTGGAGAAGAACTTGCAATTCCATTTGATAAGTCTAAGAATCACCCTGCTGCATTAACCACTAAAAAATATGGCGTTGAAAAGAAGGAATTATTAAAGGCTAACTTCTCAAGAGAGTATTTGCTTATGAAAAGAAATTCATTCGTTTACATCTTCAAGATATGTCAGGTGAATTTTAGAAGTTTCACATGAATATTTTTTTAATTTCTATGTGTTGATATTAATGCTAACTTTATGATTATTTTGCACACGACTATAATACTAACAAGTTATGTTAATACTAAAATTGTTGATACGTTTTTTCAGCTCTCTATAATGGCTATAATAACAATGACACTATTTCTACGAACTGAGATGCACCGAGATTCCTTGGATGATGGAGGTGTTTATGCTGGAGCTTTATTTTTTACTGTGGGAATGATTATGTTTAATGGAATGCCTGAGATTTCAATGACAATTGCAAAGCTTCCTATTTTCTATAAGCAACGAGATCTTCTGTTTTATCCCTCCTGGGCATATGGGATACCTACATGGATACTCAAAATCCCTGTTACATTTGTGGAAGTTGCAATTTGGGTATTTTTCACCTATTATGTAATTGGATTTGATCCAAATGTTGGGAGGTAAAGAAGCTTCGTTATCTGTTTGGAACATGCAAATACTAGTTAAATTTGTTTGTAATGTCACTCATGGTGTGAAGTCTTGTTCTTTGTGCAGATTATTTAAGCAGTACCTTTCGTTATTATTGATACATCAGATGGCTTCTGGATTGTACCGAGCTATTGCAGCATTGGGTAGGAACATAATTGTAGCCAACACATTTGGGTCCTTTGCAGTTCTTATACTGCTTACATTGGGTGGCTTCATTTTGTCAAGAAGTGAGTACAATTAATAGAAGTAATAGTTGTTGCATTTATCAAATAATGGAACTTAACATTAATGCTTATTCTTCATTGTCAATGAAACAGAGGATATCAAGGGTTGGTGGATTTGGGGTTACTGGATTTCACCTTTGATGTATGGACAGAATGCAATAGTGGTGAATGAGTTCCTTGGAAATAGTTGGAACCATGTAATTTCTTCAACTTGCAACTTTAGAAAAATAATTTAATATTACTTTAGAAACATTTAGGCCTGATACATTTGCTCTTCTATTACAGTTTACGCCAAATTCAAACAAGACACTGGGAATTCAAGTTTTAGAGTCTCGTGGATTCTTCACACATGCATATTGGTATTGGATAGGAGTTGGGGCATTGATTGGATTTATATTCCTTTTTAATATTGTATATACGGTGGCTCTCACTTTCCTCAATCGTGAGTATCTTCACATTTGATTATTTAAGATTCTCACAGTGATACAAAATTTTATTGACAAATATCCATGATTTTGGTAGCATTTGAGAAGCCACAGGCAACAATAAATGAAGAATCAGAAGGAAATGCACCTCATTATAGAGCCCAAGAAGTTGAATTACCAAGTATAGGTAATTTAGCTTTCTTCATACCACTAGTGAACACTCACTCAATGCAAGCATACTAATTTATGAATGTGAGGTAGTTTTTTAGTGAGTCATAATATGCCTTTATATGTTGAACGAGCTTCCACTATCATGCAGAAAATTCAAGGAAAGTGGATGGTATTGTGGATTCTAGCCATGGAAATAAAAAAGGAATGATTCTTCCTTTTGAACCACATTCTATCACCTTTGATCAAGTCGTATACTCAGTGGACATGCCACAAGTAAGTCACTTTCAAAGTTATAATTTAAGATTGTAGTTTGTAACAGTGTTTTTAGTTAACTCTGCTCTAGTCCAAAACAATTTTAATCCTAAATCCTGAGATTTCAATTGGCAGGAAATGAAGGATCAAGGTGTAGTAGAGGATAAGTTAGTACTTCTAAAGGGTGTCAGTGGTGCATTCAGACCTGGTGTTCTTACAGCTTTGATGGGTGTAAGTGGAGCAGGTAAAACTACTTTGATGGATGTTTTGGCTGGGAGGAAAACTGGAGGATACATTGATGGGAGCATAAAAGTTTCTGGTTACCCCAAAAAGCAAGAAACATTTGCTCGAATCTCTGGTTATTGTGAGCAGAATGATATCCACTCTCCTCAAGTTACTGTTTTTGAGTCCTTGCTCTATTCAGCATGGCTTCGTTTACCAGCTGAAGTTGATTCTAACACAAGAAAAGTTAGTACTTACAACTCAAGACTCGTTATGTTTTTCATGTTTGCTCAATCTAGTAAGGTTTGAAGGGATTTACAAAGTTTAAAATGTTCATTAATTGTGAGAAATGGCCTTTTGAACTTACTTTTTGGATTTAAAAAATTGTAGATGTTCATTGAGGAAGTCATGGAACTAGTGGAGCTAAAACCGTTGAGGAACTCATTAGTTGGTTTGCCTGTTGTGAATGGTCTCTCAACAGAACAACGCAAAAGGCTAACAATTGCAGTTGAATTAGTGGCTAATCCATCCATAATTTTCATGGATGAGCCTACTTCTGGATTAGATGCTAGAGCTGCTGCAATAGTTATGAGAACAGTTAGGAACACGGTTGACACAGGAAGAACAGTTGTTTGCACCATCCATCAGCCAAGCATTGACATATTTGAAGCTTTTGATGAGGTAACAGATGATATGGTACAAAGAAGATGCGTTATTTAGTTCTTCCTCCATTAGACCTGACTCTAACATATGCCACTTGTGGTTCTAGTTGTTCCTAATGAAGCGTGGAGGACAAGAAATATATGTTGGGCCATTGGGTCGCCATTCCAGTCAATTGATCAAGTATTTTGAGGTTAGATGCAACTTAAATTCAATATTATACAAAGAAGATAACCAAAACTTATGCTAGTATTTACTTCTTTTTCATTGTTTCTACTGGCCAGAGCATCGAAGGGGTTAGTAAAATCAAAGATGGCTATAACCCGGCAACTTGGATGTTGGAAGTTACAACTTCAGCGCAAGAACTTAATTTAGGTGTTGATTTTCATGAGATATACAAAAATTCTGAGCTCCATAGGTAAGATAAAATATTTGGATATGAAATTATTGACTACATAATCCATATGATCATATTCCAAAAAGGCTTAAACCGTTATACAATGTTATTCAGGAGAAACAAGCAACTTATAGCACAACTTAGCAACCCCACTCCTGGTTCAAAAGATCTTCATTTCCCTACTCAATACTCACAGTCACTATGGGTCCAATGCCTAGCTTGCTTATGGAAACAACATTGGTCATATTGGCGCAACCCACCATACACTGCTGTTAGGTTTTTCTTCACAACTTTCATAGCCTTAATATTTGGAACCATGTTCTGGGACCTTGGAGGAAAATAGTAAGTCAAACTTAAAAAATCTAGAAATAAGACACAAGTAAGTCAATTTTGTTTTTCAACATGATTGTGTTTCCTTTGTTTGACTTCCAGCTCAAATAGGCAAGACCTGTTTAATGCCATGGGTTCAATGTATACTGCGGTTCTCTTCCTTGGTGTCCAGAATTCTGCTTCTGTGCAACCAGTGGTAGCAGTTGAGAGAACTGTCTTTTATAGAGAAAGAGCTGCTGGAATGTATTCTGCTTTACCCTATGCACTTGCACAGGTACTAACTTAACCATTCTACCAAAAACTCTCTTTTATATTTGTACTATGGTTTACAATTACATATGTACCCATGTTAACACTAGTCACAACTTGTCACAGGTTATAATAGAGCTACCTTATGTTCTTGCCCAATCTGTAACATATGGTGTCATAGTTTATGCCATGATTGGGTTTGAGTGGACTTTAGAGAAATTCTTTTGGTATATGTTTTTCATGTACTTCACATTGTGCTACTTCACCTTCTATGGCATGATGTCCGTGGCAGTTACCCCAAATCACCATGTTGCTTCAGTTGTGGCTGCTGCATTTTATGCAATGTGGAACCTCTTTTCAGGATTTGTCATCCCACGACCTGTGAGAGTTCACAAGCTTTGAATGAATTGATTATTATCTATCATGGAATAAATGGATGTATTCATTTATACTGATACTATTATTTTCCATTTTCTTATCTTTTTTATGACAGAGGATTCCTGTATGGTGGAAGTGGTATTACTGGGCATGTCCCGTGGCATGGACTATATATGGATTGGTTGCATCGCAATTTGGAGATATCACAAACATGATGGAATCAGAAAATAAGTCGGTGCAAGAGTTCATAAGAAGTTATTTTGGAATCAAACATGATTTCATTGGAGTTTGTGCAGTTGTGGTTTTTGGGACTGCAGTGCTCTTTGCCTTTATTTTTGCTGTCTCGATCAAGGTCTTCAACTTCCAAAGGCGATAGATTAAATTCTTTACCAACCTGAGGGATTCTTTATGTCTTCTAACACTTTTTTCCAACTTTTATTGTAATCTAATAACACTTGTTATCTGTCATATTCATGTAACATTTTCCAAAGAAACTAATTCCCTTTAGTTTTCAAAGCTTTGTTTATACAAGCATGTCATAAAAAATATGACTTTTGTACTAATAATTTATCAATCAATGTAAGAGAATGTACTGAGATTACCCTATAATTATTTTTGTGTTTTGTCTCTACTTATAAGAGAAATAAAAGAAACTGGTATTAGCTGAACTCTAAGGGATGGTCTTCATTGCCAAACACCTTGGCATGTGTGTGATTTCACTTAGAGAGCAATGGACTAGGCCTATTAGATATGTCAATAAATCAATGGTTTCATGACAATGGAGCATAAATTCACTTCAACAACAATAGATATCTACCTAAAAGGCCTCAACTTATCCAATAATAAATTTGAAATTTTTTTGGTAATTTAAAATAACCAATGATTTTAAATTCTTTGACCATAATATAAAAAAGTGACTTAATGAAGTAAATACAAGTAACATTATTATTTAATATTTTTGTTGTTATATATTGAGTTGTTATAGTAAAATTTTGTAATTTTATATTTATCGATTTATTTAAAAGGTTAAATTTATTGGCTTACTTAAAGGCATTTACTTAATGGTCTTAATTAAGCTTGTGGATTTATAAAAAAATTATAAAATAGACTTCTATGGATTTCTAACTTGAAAAAAGGTAATAAGATTTAGACGGTGCTCATGCCTGGATTATAGCTCTAATCTTTAAGAGAGAATAACTAACATTCTCTAGATTCATGCTATCACATGACACAAAATAAATGATGATGTCACGGGTTGAACCTTTACTTGTATTAAACAAGAATCATTAAGAATTGCTAGATTAGAAATAATGAACTTGAAATGAAAGTAGCATAAAAAGAAACAAGTGCAAATTAAACCGAGTTTTGTAATGCATGTGGATACAGATATCAACACATGTATCAATTTTCACTTTTCATCAGCATAGTCTATGCCACAGAACGCTTTGAGTCGACACTCAGATTCTAAGGCCTGTTTGGTTGCATAGAAACGTAGGTATTCATAATGGTCAAATGGGTGATAACGTCTTGGATGCTCATCATCAACTAGCTCTTCTTGGGTTGCAATCATCTTTCCACCAAGTGAAAATAGTCCCATAGAGTACCTTTCCTTCTTTTCACTTATAATTACTCGGTGTTCACAACACCGTATCCTGTCGTTACTCCAAACCTATGACATAAAAACAAGCCATAATTTTACTTAAATGTGTAACTTAGGATAAAGATGTATGTTAATTTAACTGAAGCTATGAATAATTGAAAATTGATCTACCTTAAATGCATCGCCTGCGAGGATGAGAAACATGAAGGGTGAGGGATCAGCATCAATCCAATCTCCATTTTTCAATTTTACTTGCAAACCATTTACATCATTTTGATGCAAAATGGTGAAGAAGGAAGTGTCCGTGTGAGCATGCAATCCCAAATTATTTTCATCCTTCTGCGGCAGTCTATATTTGAAGCTCCGAAGCATGTACTTTGTTGATTCAAGAAGGGAATCACAGTGCCTTTGCTCCACACCATACCCATCAAACACCATTCTTTTAGCGGTATGGTCCAATTCTACTATTAGCTTTGCGTAGAAATTGAGAGTCTCACTATTTACAACATGAAAAGTTAGAAACAACAACGGTCAATAACAATAAATATATCTATTTATCTAAGTATATAAATAGATAGGTAGATATAGATATAGCATACTAGGAATGTAAATAAAAAATTACGCAACATAACTAAATTTTGAGCCATACCAGAAATGATCATATCCTGCTGGCCACATTAATTTGGTGAACTTTTGAACTTCTTCCATGATCATTGGATCATTGATCCCCAAGGATTCATATAAGGGGACATGAATATTTTGTCCATAATAACCATGGTAGGGCTTATCACTAATCTTTTGCATTTTTGTTTCCAATGGAAGATGGAATAGTTCTTCCATTAGAGTAAAAACAGAGTTGTAAAGTTCCATAGAAACTTTATCACACAAAGCATAAAAAACACCATGATCCTCAAGTGCACCCCGGATCACTTGGCATGCTGAAGCCCATGTTTGTGAACCGGGTTTCAACTTCTCATCAGTGAAGTCTACAATAGGAACTTGGCATGCTGTTTGGGAACCCATGACCCAAATATTACTATTTCTAATCTTTCTCCAAGCAACTACAAATAAAAGATTGGCACTGTTAATCTGATTTATAGAAGGACCTCTATGAGGTGGAGTTAGGCCCTTGTTTTCTCATTACTTCATGAGTCCATCTTAATTTTTATGATGAAAAGTGTTATTTAACATAACTAGTAATTTGTATGCCTGTCAAGCAATTCCCATCTCAAGATGGTTAAGGGGATGAGCAATAATTCAATTCAATTCTTTTGAAATGAAGTGTTTAATTAAGAATTATATCCTTTTCAATCAAATTGGATATATTCAAAATGCAATGGAAATATTTTTTATAATCATATGTCAAACATCAATCTTATTCAATTAGAACGAATCAAAGGTAAAATTCATTATGAGAGCATATATAAGTCAAAGTGTGGCATCACTTATGCTTTGCGACATGCTACATAGACAAAACTCAAAAATTGAATATTGTAGATTTTAGATCGTATCTTATTAATATAAGAACATGGATTGAATCGCACACACTTACTGGGGACCAGAGGTTTAGAGAAGACTTATGATTATTTCCCATAACACAATAATAATATATGAGTTTAAGCATTTATAAATACAAATTTTTTATAAAGTATTAAAATTATAAATATATAATAAATACATTTTTAATAAACGTAAGGAAATACTTGGTTTAATTAGAGTTTTTAAATGTATTTTTATGCAGTTGATTGTGTTTCTTGGCATGATAACACAGCTAAGCCTATTCCTAAGTCGTACAGGCCTAGTGAATAGGTAACATGTTGGTGGGTCTGGGAATGGCTCAAGGGACTATAATGGGTTGGCATGAAACAATAAAGAAAAGCTTATGGACAATAACATAATATACGACCAACTTCAAACGTTGGACCAGACCAGACATTTGGAGGGCCTCTAGCTTCTAACGCTTCCTAAGCCATTTGTCCATTTCTTAATGCATGCCCATGGATTTGTTTTTTATTGTCTATTTATTATTAAATTCAGCATAATTCATTTTAAATTACAAGATAGAGGTGATTGTGTGTATCACAAAGAATAAACTGAATTTTTTGCTGTGGCCAAAATTCAGTTTGAGACTTATGCAAACAGAGCCTTGGGCTTCTTCTAGGATCAAGGGATCTACTTTGGCTTTAGGAGCCTGAAGTATATTCCTTACTCCTTAGTTGGACCCGTTTATGTAGCAATTATAGAAGTACCAAGTGGAAATTAATTTTTGTATCCATACACAATTTCTGTCATGAACTTCTATTAAACTCGTGTTGAGCCAATGCCATTGCCAGCTACCTCTAGATCAGAACGAAAGATATGTATCAAATGATGAACAAGGTATAGCTCAAGAGTGAAATTACTTTGTGCATTTAAGTTTCCAAGATTTCGTTGTTTCAACAAAAGTTTTTCACTTTTAATTTCTGAGTTAATCATGTTTTTAGTTATAAGTTAGTAACATAATAATTACTTTAGATTTATATTTAAAATCTATTCATGGCTAATCTAATTTGTAACCATCCCAGAAATATAAAGTACACTGAGTAAACTGTTAAGACCAGAGTATCAGTATAATAACACACAACTAAAATAAGAGATGAAAAATAAGAGCCAATAAAGACAATATAAAATTATCACAGAAGAAAAAAATTACACTACTCCTCACTCTAAAATTTACTCCTCAAAATAGGAGACTATTACTACTAAGTATAAGCTCGGTGTAATACAAAATGAAAGGGAAAGAGAGGATTTTGGGATGATGCTTAAGGAACCCTTAAGCCTCCTTTTATAAGCCAAAGGAGGTCCTCCTAATTGAACTCCCACCGATGTGGGACTAACAATTCTCCCACTTGAAGATTATGATTAAGTTAATCATATCTTCACATACATTACTAATATATATATTACAATTACATGTTGCTTATATTCCTAATAGGCCATACAAGGATCGACACCATGTAAACTTGTCATTGTTCACTAGCTTTGTCATTATGTCTGCTATGTTGTCTTTGGTGTGAATCTTTTGCATATCCACTCTACCTTCCTCTACTACTTCACGAACAAAGTGGTATTGTATACCTATGTGTTTTGTTCTGGAATGAAAAGCTGGATTCTTTGCAATATGCAAAGCACTTTGACTGTCACAATACACAGTTGTAGTCTGCTGTTTGTGCCCAAGTTCCTCCAATAGCCTTTGAATCCAGATTGCTTCCTTGCATGCCTCAGTAGCTGCCATGTATTCAGCTTCTGTAGTAGACAAAGCCACAACAGTCTGCAACTTAGATAACCAGCTTACTGCCCCTCCAGCAAGTGTAAACACATAACCAGTAGTAGATTTCCTTTTATCCAGATCTCCTGCAAAATCTGAATCAACATAGCCTTTCACAATAAATTTTGATCCTTCAAAACATAATGCAACATTAGAGGTTCCTTTTATGTATCTAAGGATCCTCTTTACAACATTCCAATGCTCTCTACCAGGATCTGCCATGTACCTACTGACTGCTCCCACTGCTTGTGCAATGTCTGGTCTAATACAAATCATGGCATACATAAGGCTTCCCACCGCTGATGCATACGGTACTCGAGACATTTCTATCCTCTCCGCTTCATTGCTAGGACACATACATACTTGAGGATAATTTATAACTGACAGGAAGTGGGGTAGAGATTGGCTTACAGTCTTGCATATTGAAGCGTCGTAAGACTTTACGAAGATAATTCTTTTGAGAGAGCCAAATCTTCCTATCTTTTCTGTCTTGGTGTATTTGCATCCCTAAAATCTTGTTTGCTGGTCCTAAGTCCTTCATATCAAACTCCCTAGCTAATTGTGCCTTCAATTCTTGAATTCGATCTTTGCTGGGGCCTACCACCAGCATGTCATTCACATACAACAACAAAATGATGAAATCATTATCACCAAACCTCTTGTAATACGTACAATAGTCTGAACTCAGTCTGTTGTATCTGAGGCTAATAATGAAGGAATCAAATCTCTTGTACCAACACCTTGGCGCCTGTTTTAAACCGTACAGAGATTTGGTCAACCTGCAAACCAAGTCTTCCTTTCCTTGTTCTTCAAAACCTTCTGGTTGGAGCATATATATTTCCTCTTCAAGTTCTCCATGTAGAAAAGCAGTCTTTACATCAAGTTGCTCAAGATGTAAATCAAATGCAGCACACATTGCCAGAACAATTCTGATTGTGGTTAATCGAACAACTGGAGAGAATATCTCGTTGAAATCAATGCCTTCTTTCTGAGCATATCCTTTAACCACTAATCTTGCACGATACCGCTCCACTTGATCATTACCATCTCGTTTGATTTTATAGACCCATTTACAACCAATGGCTTTTCGATCTTTTGGAAGTTCAACAAGTTTCCATGTCTTGTTTTTATGTTAGGCCTCAATTTCTTCCTGCATTGCTGTCATCCATAATGAAGCATCTGAACTCCTCAAAGCCTCATGAAAGGTTGATGGTTCTCCTTCATCTGTTAGAAGACAATATGCATCGTGGCTTGCCATCACATAGTCTGAGTGCCAAGATGGTCTCCTTATCTCACGTCTTGTTTGTTGAGTTTCTCCATCATTGGCATCATTTGATTCTTGTTCTCCGTGCTCTTGTTCTGCTTCAGAGTTGTCATCTTCTTTAGCTTTCCTTTCTATCACTACTGAAGTAATGTCTTTGGTAGTACTGTCATTTTTCTGCTCCTTTTGCAGTTCATTTTCTGCAAAGACTACATCTCTGCTAACAACAACCTTGCAGGCAGTGGGATCCCACAAGCGATACCCCTTAACATTGTCAGCATAACCCAAGAATATACATTTCCTGGATTTTGGATCCAGTTTTGTTCTTTCTTGGGAATTGTACATCACGTACACAGGACATCCAAACACATGTAATGAAGAATAATTAGGTGGCTTTCCATTCCATATCTCCATTGGTGTCTTCAAACCAATTGTTGTTGATGGTGATCGGTTTATTACATAACAGACATTTTTCACTGCTTCTGCCCAGAAAGATTTAGCCACTCCTGCTGTTCTTAGCATAGCTCTTGTTCTTTCTAGAAGAGTTCTGTTCATCCGCTCTGCTACACCATTCTGCTGAGGTGTATAAGGCACTGTGAATTGCCTTGAAATACCCTCTTGCTTGCAAAATGCCAGAAAATCACCATCTACATATTCTCCTCCATTGTCTGTCCTTAAGCACTTAATTCTTTTCCCAGTTTCAAGTTCTACTAGTGCTTTAAATTCCTTGATTACTCAAAACACATCTGATTTCTTCTTGATTGGGTACACCCACAATCTCCTTGAGTGATCATCAATGAATGATACAAAATATTTTGCTCCTCCAATAGATACTTCTGGTGATTCCCATACATCAGAATGAATCAAGTCCAGTATGTGTCTGCTTCTTGTAATCACGTTGCCAAACTTCAATCTATGCTGCTTACTTGTCACACAGTGCTCACAAAATGGTAAGGTTACCATTTTGAGCCCGGGCAAGAGATTACGTTCTGCTAGAATTTTTAGGCCTCGTTCTGACATATGACCAAGTCTACGATGTCACATCATTGTTTCTTCTTCTTGACTAATTGCAACTGATGCATCTGCTTCTTTCAACGTATCTTCCAAAAGCATGTATAAATTGGTTGTGATCTTTTCTGCTTTCATCACCACCAAGTTGCCTTTAACCACTTTCAAGATTCCACCTTCAATATGGATCTTACAATTGAGGTCATCCAATTGCCCAATGGACAATAGATTCTTTTTTAAGCCTTTCACATGTCGTACTCCTTGAATTGTACGAATAGTACCATCATGCATTTTTAATTTGACAGTACCAATTCCAGCAATTTCTAGGGCATGATCATTTCCCATGAACACAGATCCTCCTGAGATAGGTTCATAATTGTAAAACCAGTCTCGACATGGAGTCATGTGCCAGGTTGCACCTGAATCCAATATCCAACATTCATGAAG